AAGGTTGGAAAAGGGCACTAAGATCACCTAGCTCATGCTGTGAGGCAAGAGAAAGCCCATTCTCAGAAGCCATGGGTTGGGGAGATCCATGGCCAACAGTGCTAGGAAGGCAAACAACACAGCCCCAAGACCCAACACCAGGAGGGAGATGGGGCTGGTTCTTATATGTGAGGTTGGCTCTTACCTACTCCCTCCCCTGCCACCATTTGCCTCTCACCAGCCCTGCTCAGACTCCGAGACTGGAGATCCTTTCAGCCACCCCTCCAAGGGGTTACGCCATGTCCAAGGACCCAATGCCTAACTTCACTGCAGCCCAGCTCCCTAAAATCAGGAGGAAAAAAAAAAAAACTGGGCAGAAAAAAAACAAAACCTAAGACAAAGCAAGGTTACAGGATGGTTGCAGCAGAGAAAGAATCAAGAGGAAAGACATGAATACTGAAAATTCAGTAGGAAAGCATAACAGAAGGGTTGGGATTAGAGAAGTGCCTGCAGTCTCTGCATCTGACTACAGGCATCCAAACAAGGTGACCCAGAGAGACAAGGCTGTGCTTCAGGATATTCCATCTATCACATCTGTGTAAAGACGCCCACTGATTGACACTACTTAAGCCACACATGCAGCAGCCCCATTGGAAAGCATCAACACCTACTGCACAAGGCAACCCTACACGTGCTGAGTGGCATGAAGAGATCACAACACGTGCTTTGCTGTCTGCTGGTCTGTTCACAGCCCAGTGTGATGTTTTCTTTTTCACAACAGGACAAGTTTCGTTGACTCGTGTTTTGCTTGTGATCCAGTATAAACACCAGCTGTTCCTGCTGCTAGTCTATAGAGGTAATGCTGTCTATAGAGCTCCTATAGTGGATCAACATGCATTTACCTGTATTGCACGGCATCCTACTTTTTCCATGACCATTTCTCCATTCAAGGCTTGAATTCTGCCTCCCTCTCCCTGCAGCCTACATGTTCTCCCCACTACCCTATATGGGGAAATAGCTGGTTCCTCCATACATGCACCTACACTCTCTATTCACCACCCAAGATTGAAAGAACGTTGGGCAAACACCCAAAAAAGCATTTGGATACAATCATCCCATCACTTGGTGCCCATTTCATCCAGAATCACACCAGACACAACTGTACCAAAAGGCTTTGCATATTGTCAAGTACTGCCTTCCCCATAGCCGTGGGACCTCTTTGTCTTGTCACATATTACTTTGGTTTGAGATGACTTTCTCCTAAAAACCCCACATGCTTTACTTGTTGAGCACCTTTCCAGGCTGCTTTTGTTTCAGATATTTTTTTTTCCTCCTGCAGATGATAATTAAACAGATCTGCAATTACCCAGGCCTTCTTTGTATTCTTTCTAGAGACAGGTACTACTTAAATCAAGGGCATTCAGGTGCCCCATTTTTGTCAAGAAACAACACAGACTGTTCTGAAATCACTTTAGCTTGCTCCTTAACAAAATCCCTGACACTCAGACAGCATGAGACCACCTGTTTTCCCAAGAACACCAGTGACATTTTTTCTGCATGTTAAGCAGAGATCTCACTGATAATTGTTACCACAGGCAGTGCTAGTCAGTGCTTCTTTCTCTTCAGCTTTTTAGAAGGGTCTGTAAGATAGAACAGGGGGAAATGGTTTCAAACTATAAAGAGGAGAGATTTAGAGTGGATATAATGAAGTCAGTATAAACAATAAGGGCAGTGAAGCAATGGCACAGGTTGCCCAGAGAGATGGTAGTGCCCCATCCCTGCAGACAGCCAAGGTCAGGCTGGATGGGCTCTGAGCACTGATGCAGCTGTGGGTGTCCCTGCTCAGTGCAGGGAGTGGGACCAGATGGCCTTGAAGGGTCCCTCACAACTCGAACAGTTCTATGACACTGAGTAGGCACATGGATATAAAAGGGAAAATGCATGAGGATGTGTGATTTGCTCACTTTAAATGCTATAAATGACAAGGAATAAGGCTACATACACAAAAAGGGCAGGTATAATTTGTATACAATCCAGGCTTCCCCACTATCAAAAAGCCATTTCAGAAGAAAGAAAAACATGTTCTATTAGGTTACCTTGCCTAGACTAAGAAATGTTCTTGGAGAGGTACTTAAGTAAGATATTGGCTTTGATAATTCTATTACAAAACAGGTAAGTTGGACAGTAGCAAGAAGCTGTCAATAAATCAAGGAAAGCATGCATCTTTTTCCACATTTGCTTAAGGAGAGCCAATGCCTAGAAAGGAGATATGCAGAAGTGCAGGGAGCTGCTGAAAAGCAGAGCCTCCACAATTACCTGCCTGGTGCAGCCCCAGGGACCGCAGGAAGAAGGGAATCAGGAGCATACTTAGCTAACTGATGAGTCTGCACTTAACGGGTGCTTGTATTCGTTGTTATTTGTCTCACCTTCCGCAGATGCAATTAGCAGAGGCCTGCCAGGTGCTCTCTTCACGTGGCTCCCAAACGAGCATGAAATCCAGCAAGACATCTCCCAGCACAGCCATGGCTGAATTCGGTCCTAGGCATTTCTGTGGCAACTGTGCTAAAATTACATCCCTCTCCTTAAAAGAGCTGTCTTTTTACTGGATGTCTTCTTTATACATGGATAAACATCTCCTGACAAGACAACAGAACAGATGACAAACAAGGAATCTACATTTTTAAGGGATACCAACAAAGAACTGTGGGCTTCATCTGCCATTATCTTCAAACTGCCAAGCAAACAAGCCAGATTCTCAGGGCTGACAGTGTTTTAGATCTATCACTCTCTAAATTGAGTTTAATATTAAAAAAAATCTGATAGCACACTACGCTTGTTGTTCTGCAATCAACTCAACTATACATGCCCTTGTACCAACTGTTCCCTGAAATGTTTTTATGCTGTTCAGTTGGCATCTGCTGTTCAGGGAGGAGTGAAGAGTTGCCCATAGCTTCTTAAGGTACTTCATGTAGTGGTTGGGTTTGGTTTTGTTTTGAATAGTAACCAAAGAAGCTTGTTTTTCACCCAGAAATTTCCTTGTATATTGCTGCAACATGGGGCAGAAAGTGAATACATCAAAAGATAACAAAGTTTGCAGGAGAAGAGTACAGGACGCCTTCAACTCCACTCAGCACTGCAGCAAAATCAGAAGATATCAAGATTGAAGGAGAAAGCTGGAACTTATTAGAGGAAAATGGGACCGATGCAGGCTGAATATATCTGCCACAGAGTTCTGTGCTGCAAAATTGTGGCTGGCACAGCTGGTGACCGCATGTAAGCAGCATTCGTTAATTACATAAAACAATGCTGGGAGGAAAACAACAAACTAGAGCACGAGTCTAAAATAAGAGCCCAAATATTTAGAGGTGAAGTCAGGTGAAGTTTACATAGGGGATTTCCATCTGGCAGCATTGATATGGCTGTCAGTTGGCTGTGCCTCTGCTGCTGCTGTTAGCACGTGGGCCAAAAGCACAGAGAGAGCACCAAGCATCCTCACGAGACTGCTGGCTATGCACAGAGACACCAGTGAGCAAGTGTGGTCAAAATATGCCATTGTTTTTCACCATCAGTTGTTTGCACAAGAGGAGAAAATAGAAAAGCTCACAATGGGGAGAATAAACTCACCTTGTCCTTTCACTCTTAGCATTACAGATGTTCTCTGGGGCTGCTTTTACTCACTGAATGCCATTTCAGTTTCACCTAACACCAGCCACGTCCCTCCCAGAGGGATGCACTGCAGTGGGGCCATGCCTCCCTGTTGCTGTTGTTGGAAATTCGCTACAGGAATGTACAAAGCATCACCTGCTCACGTGCAGGAGCAGCAGGTTGACAGAAGAACCATCTCCAGGATTAGTTTTGTATGCTTGAGTAATGAGTTGACACTTGCACAGCACTGGGCATCCTTACAGAAGGTCTCAGCTGAGGTGCCCAGGCTCTCAAAGACACAGGCTGAAATCAAACAGGGGTACCCAACCACCACAGGCTGGCCCACAGCAGCGAGACCTTGAGTAAGTCCTCATTCAGTACCTCTGCTGGTCATTCTGTTCCTAGCAAGGCCAGCAGCTCTGGGTATAGCAGCCACAGGCCAGCACTGTACAGAACCAAATCAAGTAACATCTTCTCTGTGACAATGTTCACAGGACTGCTAGTAAATTCAAGCAGTTGTGTTGTAACCTACCTTCATTCACAAATCCAAGTAAAGATGGTCTGCATATATTCAGGGTCCATCTTTTCCACTGACCTGATCGTAGCAGAACTGCAGCAGCTCAGATGATACGTTTGGATGCATTTTTTCACTGTAGTTAATTGTAGCTATATCACACACTTCAAACTGCAGCAAGCCCTTAATATAGCAGTGGAAAAAAAACACAATAAAAATCAACATCATACCAAACAGCTTGCATATAAAAGACGGATGTTATGCCTTGGAGACAGCTTGCTCACACGTTTTAACAAGTGCTTTCAACGTTCAAGCAGCGTTACATTTTTGCCTAAGCTTCTTATAGTATGTTATCCTTTGAATGCTTGATAATAATCCCAATTTAAAGAACTGGGACTTTTCAGATGCAAACAGCATTTGCCTTTGCAGTTCTTACCAAGAGACAGAATATCCCTTACTTGACAATTAAAAAAGCTGAGCACGTTACATTTACGCTTACTATAAATAATGGTCTGGGGGAGTGAAGAACTTCTCAGAAAAACTGGGATTTTTTTATGCTTTCATGTCCTCAAAGGAGCCTCTGATAATCCCTACTTTAGAAACACAGATGACTCTTAAGCAAATTCTGTGTAAGTTCCATTTATTCTCACTTTCAGTAAAAAAGGTAAATAGCAAAACCACCATCCTCTAAAGAAGCAATCTGAGTATAACATCGCCTTGTTCTGATCGCTGCTTAAATGTTAAGGGAATTATCACTGCAATAACTCTCACAAGGTAGTGTGTAACATTTTGTTCTAACTCCCACATTTCCAGCTTGTTTCCAATCAAAGATGTGCAAAGCCAAGCTCAGACAAAACCAAACTGCTAGACAAACTTTATTTACAAAGGATACAAACTTCAGAACGGGTGCTCTGAAAGTGGCAGGACCACAGGCCCAAAGACACATCATCTCCTGTTTGGTGAACATCACAAGGACAACTGCTGCAAATACCACGCCTCCTCCTCTCCCTGCTTTTAACGGGGAACGCTCGAGTGCAACTCCCCATGGCAAATTCTGTATGACCAGGTATCCTCCAGCACGACACAAGCTGTTGGATGCACTGAAGCTTTGTCAGGCTCTTTACCCAGCATGGCATTACTCTGCTGTAACAGTTCTCAGCTAGAGATTCAGTGATTATCAGGAACACTGCATCGTTTTCCAGAGAAGCTGGTACGCTGCCTCCTTTAGATTTCAGGGAGGAGTTTGTGTGTGCAAACTGGAAAGTGGGAAATTAATAAATAACCATACCTTCAGATACAACACCCCAAAGGCAACAGTCTCAATATCCTAAGCTAAAACGATGGGCATTTTTCTTCTCGCTTTCCTACTTCTCCCTCCCATTGGCAACCCAAAGGTAAATTCCTATCAGGGGAGCTATCACATCTGTTCCCCATTCTGTTCTGAAACCGCAGTGGGATTATACTCCTCTGGTCCTCCCATAAGTTGATGTTTTTTCAAACTGAATTTTAGTATTTACAAGTTGGAAGCATCTCTGCTTTAACAGTTCAATTCACATCACTTGCTGCAAGTCAGTTTTTCTTCGCTTCTGTTTCTGCAGCAGGCCACGAAACGTGGATGTGATATGGCTCTAATTCTTCTGGAGTGACATAGTCTGGAGCACTGCCCATCAGGTCCCGTCCCCTGAATGATTTAGGAAAAGCAATGACATCTCGGATACTCGGAGAGCCAACGATGAGGGAGATGAGCCTGTCAAGTCCTAGAAGCAGAAAACAAATTGATGAATCACTTGAGCTACGGTCCTGTGCTAGTTTCTCTGATTCAGAAAATCAGAAAGGTGGGAGTAGGTAATACTGCCAGACTTAAAGAATAAAACTGAAGTAAGGGGAAAAAAGTTACCCTCAACCAGTAAAGAGAGAAACAGAGACGCCTAGACAGCAGATGAGCCTAGCAAAATAAAGCTTTTCAGTGTTACAAAAAATTCTGTGACATAACAAAGACTGCAAGACAGAGACAGTGCCTTTTCAAAAGCAGCATAACAATGCCAGGGCCACTAAGCAACAGGAACATTGTCAGGGCTCTGTTTAACTGCTCAAAGCTCTTGGTCAATCAGTTCTGAAGGACTAGAACAACCAGGAGGAATTCAGAAGGAGTAATAGCCTCTGAGTGATCAGATAAGGGAAAAATCACATTTGAAGACAGCAAGTTAAAGTGTTCTTCTGTTGCTGTTTAAACAAAAACCTGAAAGATTCTAGGAAAACAGACATTCCTGTAACACAGCTGTACGCAGTGCTGTAATGACTTCTCAAGATTCCATTCCACAGCAGCTTAAGCCAATCTAGATCAGTGCTGCTGCCTCCTCACACTCCCTGTGTCTCCTGAGACGTAATTTCTCCCTGTTGTGTACATTGCACTGCTGTGTACAGGTATCCATCAGGCCCGTGCTGAGACGGATCAGGGAGCTAACGTGACAGCATTCACTGTCAGTTTAAGTCTCTGAATGAATGAATGAAACAGAAGGCAGAAGGGAAGTGAGGCTGAAAGAAAGGCTGAGATTGTGGCAGTAACCCAGGGCATGAAGCAGTACCATACCATCCCATGCCTCCGGGGGTGCAATACAGAGATCCTGTACTGGCTGTACAGGAAGAAGAATTAAGATGACCCAGTGTTAATAAACACGCTGTTTGTAGAATAGTAGATAAGGACTGTCCTCAGATGCACTAACAGATGATTTGGTCCTTGCAGAAGAACTAAAACACATTATGATGCTGGATAGGAATACCAAAACATTCAAGAGCTCTGGTCTCTTTCATAAAGTAGCCACAGAAATGGAAGCATGCTGGTTGTTACTTTTTAGCACCACCAAAACAGCCATCTCTCACGTCCGGAGAAGATAGGGCTTCTGCTAACAAACGAGGCTTATTCTCAAAATCTAATATACCAAAAGAAAGCCACAAGACACCTGCATTCTGGATAATTGCAAAGCACTCACCTAAAGCAATTCCTCCATGAGGGGGAGCTCCAAATTCCAGAGCCTCAAGCAGATGGGAAAGCACCTCTGAGTCCTCCTGCAAAGTTACATAAGAAACATTACTGAACAAACAACGCTCTTCCTATTGACAGCATAGGATCTGATGGAGTCATCCATCTCTAGGAGCTGTTTATCTGAGAAGGACACTCCTGTTTCTCCAGAATTTGGAGCACATATAAATGGAGCAGTCATTTAAAACTTTAAGAGGATGTTGGGAGACATCTGGAGGTGTTACCTTCAGCACTTTCTCCAGCACAAAACGCTGCTGTTGCGCATTATGAATTCTGATGGAGCCACCTCCAATTTCACTGCCATTCAGCACAAGGTCATAATGCTGGCTACGAACCTGGGAAAAGAAGCCAACAAGCACCTTAGAAAAGCTGGGACACAATGGCATTTACAAAGACATACACATACAAAGATGCTGCAAACGAAGACATGATGTACTGCAACACTGCTCTCTCAATGCAGCCTTGTAATTCACAAACGAAGGAGGGTCCAAACACTGAGGATAAAGTTTTCCACTGAATTCCACCGGGGGGGTAACAGATTCCAAACTTAAGAATAACAAACATATAGATCACAACATAATCAAAGAGAAAGGAAACAATTGAGAGCTTTCATTTTTTATAAAGTCCTGTTAGTAGATACAGAGCAAAGCAGACTTCAAGTCTTGCCAACATTCCTCTTCTGGTTCCAGCTCCAGCAAAAACATGAAAGAAATCACATGGGCACATCTCTTCTTTTGTGGCTTTGTCGCTGCCATTTTAACAGCAGTTTGCATCCATTGAGAATTCAGGCTCCATGCTGAGACCTGATTGATCCCAAGCCTGAGCACAGAAAAAGCTCCAAGTCAAATACCAGTCCTAACAGAAGCATGGACTGCTGTTGACACAGGTGCATGTCACCTCAGGGTGGCACATAGCTGAACAGCAACAGGAACAATGCATGTTCTTTTGGAAACTTGATCAAAACTTGAAGCAACATGGTATGGGTCAGAATACAAGATCCCTTACCTTAAGCAGCTGCTTCCAACAAGCCCCTTTTGCCAGAGGGGCACCAAGAAGCTGGTTGTTATTCAGAGTAATCTTAAAGTTGTACCTTTCAAACAGACAGGTAGCTAGTTTTCCACAACACAGAGCTATCAGGGGACCAACACAACAGGCATGAAGTTAGTTACCTTCGTGGGGTCAGAATAGAGGAGGTTGGTATCTGAAGGATGAGGGGCAGTGAAGGGGTGATGAGCAGACTCCAGTTCAGAGGGATTCTCTTCCTTGGGGAGGAAAAGTGGGAAATCCACCACCCAGAGGAAGTGAAGAGCTGCAGGATCCCGCAGTATCATTCCAGCTGCCTCCAGGAGGTCAGCACTCTCCAGCCGTAGGCTTCCTAATGCAGAGCACTGCAGAAAAGAAAGGAGCTAATGAGAAAGGGCAATTTTACTGCCAGAGAAGTTGCTCGTATACCATCCAGGGACAGAGTTTTTTGTAACAGCAGCATCATATAAAGTATTAGCTGTACTGTGCTGTTGCAGTAAAAGCATTCTTGCCTTGTCTCCTAAAAAATATCATCTTCCTGCCAAGGCAGCAGCAGCTCCAGGGTTTGACAAAAAAAGAAAAAGAAAAGTCTGAGTAAGAAGCTGGAAAAGCTCATTTTCTTCCACATTCCATCCTCACAAAACTCTCCCAGACTGACCTCAAGTTCTACATAAGCATGGATTAACAGGGAATCATAGTTAATATCCTCACTTTAAAGACAGAAATGAAGGCACAGAAAGAAGTGACAGTTTTGGTGATCATGCAGAACATGACACCATACATAAAAGAATGCCTGGAAGGCAACATCTACTGGCAGGAATATAGAGAAGGTTAGGGACAGAATCTCCTATCTCCTCTGCTAATAAGCAGCCATGTTTCACTCTTACCATCTGCTTACAGGAGACAGCTACCTAGGTGTCTTTGTTTTCTAGTCTCTGTTTAGTGCTTTAAAAAGTAAGTTGAGCTGAGAGAAGCGGTGCCAATTTGTTCCTGTTTTATATTCCAGCCTTCATCTTGGTTACAAACTCTTCCCAGAATATAACTGGGAGAGAAACAGAAACAATAGGTGCACTTGTTGCTGATGCAGCTTCTGATGCAAAGAAACAAGGAATTAGAAGAGACGGCTCTGGGAAGACCTTCTTGTGGCCTTCCAATATTTGAAGGGAGCATATAAACAGGAGGGGGAATGTCTATAGGACAGGAGGCAATGGTTTTAAACTAAGATGGGGGAGATTTAGGTTAGATATTAGGAGGAATTTTTTCACACAGAGGGTGGTGACGCACTGGAACAGGTTGTCCAAGAAGGTTGTGGATGCTCCATTCCTGGAGACATTCAAGGCCAGGCTGGATGTGGCTCTGGGCAGCCTGGTCTGCTGGTTGGTGACCCTGCACAGAGCAGGGTGTTGAAACTCAATGATCACTGTGGTCCTTTTCAGCTCAGGCTGTTCTATGACTCTATGATTTTAGTGATCTGGGGTATTAGACAAAGGACAGGTAACTTCAAAGTCAACAGCAACATTCAACTCTCACAGTAATCCAGAAATGCTTCCTACCACTCGCTTGTGGTCTCCAGCTGCCAGCAGCACCACATCATCCACCTGCATGTTCAGTGCTTGGATGAGCTCTGACTGTTGCTCTTGACTAAGAAACTTGGTGAGCAAAGACTTCAAGCTCCCATCGGGCCTGCAGACAACATCCATGATTTCCTATTGAAAGATCAGTAAGAAGAATACGTTCATGTCAATGCTGCCCTCTCATCATCAACTCTTTTTAAATAAGGCTCTTAGTAATGAGCCTTTATTATTATTAAAAATTCTCCTCTACCTTCTTCTGCCTACAAGTGCCTTTATACAGTTTATCATTCACCACTTTTAACATTCCAGCAGTGTTGCTGTCTCACCTGGTTGAACTGGGATTTTGCAGCCTCCTTTAAGGATTCCAAATCTTTATTTTTAAGATATCTCTGAGGAAAAAGCAAGAAAAGACATTAGAGCAGCATGATCTACAGAAAGCCCTGCCAGAATTCAAATCTACTGTTTCCAAACATCTCGTGTTCTTCTGTTTCTAGCTGTTCAAGAACCTGTGATAGAAACAAGAGCTGTGGAACAAGAGTGGGCTCATGGAACTGAACTCGTGGCAGCTTAGTGTTTTCTCCAAGCACTGCTTTCAGAAAGCGGCTTCTGTAAGCTGCAGTTTTTCCCCTCACTCACAGATCAGACATAGCTGGTCAGCAGTGGGAGACCATGCCAATTAATTACTCTAGCCTACAGATTACAGAGCAGGAACACGTTTTTAACACTACACTGACAATGGTGAAAGCACAGCTCAGTGTGGAGGAATAACAGGAAGAAACCAACCAGGCTCATCCTCACATGCAAAGGAATGCAGCAGATGTTCCTGATCTTAAAAAAAAAAAAAAAAAAAAAGAAAGAATATTTTAAAGACAGAGAGGCTTGAAACTCCACTTTTGTTTTGCAAATGCACTTCTTTAGTGCCCTCTCGTGGGAAGACAGTAACTTGTGTTTTCTGCCAAAATTATACAACTCCCAAACTGAAGTCCTACTCATAGAATCGGAAAGAACTCACAAAGTTTACTGAATCCAACTCCTGGCTCTACAAAGAACCACCCAAAATTCAAACCCTGTGTTTGACAGCATTGTCTAAATGCTTCCCGTGCTCTGGTAGTCTTGGTGACATGACCAAATGCCCTGGGAAGCCTGCTCCAGTTTAAAAAAATCATGCAGATTCATGTTATTCTATTCTCTAAGGATAAGCGTTCAATACTTTTTTCCCCTTACTGCCTATGCTGCAAAGACATCCACAGCCAGAGTTACATTTGCTTCCCCGTTAAGATAGGCCAAAGATAGTTTTCCATCTACTGTCAGCTTTGGGTTTGATTTGTGGCATTTTGCTTACATGAGAAGCACCCAGAAATGCAACAAAAGCAATCGTGAGAGAGGCATGCAAACTAGCTGACCTTTCTCCTATCAGTCCAGAACACCACTGTGCCATACCTGATTCTATTTCAATCTCTCTCCAGAGGGCAAATTTATTATTCAGATGCCATCCTTGACAAAAGCAAGCTGAAGCCCCAAGAGGCTTCCCCATCCCCAGGGGACCTTGCAGCTCTGTTCTCTTCCTGGCCTTCATGAGGACAATATATTCTTCCCATCGCCTGATCATCTCCATTTCCCAATTGTAACAACACTGTGCCCAACCTGACGTCAATCACAAGCAACCCCGAGCTCCCTGAAGGAGGCTGCTCCCCCACTCATAGCAGGGAACATTTCCACACCAACAAAGGAATTCGAGTTGGTATTTTATTTCACAAGTGTACACAGCATGTAAAAACATCACTTACCACTCCCTGAGGGATACAAATAGCCTTGGCAGTGCTGTGAGGGTAACTGAGCACATTCTGCACAAACCCAATGTCCAATCTTCGGAAAGTATCACTGATATCCACTATCTAAGCAAGGAGAGAGCACAGGAAAAAGCTGTTGTGGTAAAAATATGAAGCAAAAAAAAAAAATAATCACAAGCCTGTGTCTTATTGCCTTCAAAAGCCACTCTTTGGGACACCATTTCCTTGCTCAGAGAAATCAACAGGTCCCAGAAAGAAATGAATGGGGCCAAGCTTGAATAACCATCAGAAGACTGATGGCTACAGAGACAAAAAATGTAAGAGGGCCTGGAAAACCCAAGAGATTCCTTTGGTATATTAAAGGATTAAGAATTCCACGTAACCACATACATACAATTTAATCAAAGATTATTCTTAGAACACTACCAGAAATAAAAAGAAAAGCTGCAAGTTTCCAGCAGGCAAACCCACACCTTCATCCCAAAGCGAGTGTCTGGTTTATCAGTCCCATAGTCAGCCAGTGCCTCCTCATAAGTCATGGAAGGGAAAGGAGTTGTAATGGGGCCTCTTTCCTCAGGCCAGGAATATTGCAGGAGGCCCTCTATCAACCTCTGGATCCCAGCTTGATCTACAAATGACATTTCTATATCTATCTGAAAACAGAGAACAAAAGGGAGATTGCACATTAGCTATAGTTTTTGCCTCTGCACTGCTACTTGCAGAAACTCTTAGAATATTAAGCCAACATAACAGGAAACAATATACAACATTAAGTCATAGCACAATTACGTTAGATTAAGGGTGTGCTTATGATCTCCCTACACTGTGATGACTCAGGCAACAATCTCCTCAGAGTACTAAGTGAGGTAATGATGACAAGGATGAATAGAGAAACCTTGAACGGACCCAGCTAACTCTGCCTGGGTACAAAGCTGATGTAAGGGATGCCCAGCTCTGCAGGACAGGAGCAGAAATGCATCATCAAGTACCACCACTGCTGCAACACAATTCCCACATTTATTCATCAGCACCTGGGACTGAAGTCAGCCAAGGACAGTCACAACTTTGTTCACATCCCACTCTGACTGCAAGGGGCCGTGGCTGCAAAGCACACACAAAACAGCATTCCACGTCCCTGAGGCAGGACAAGGACCAACAGATACTTAGCCTTCAGAAGATAAAAATACCCACAAGCTTTTTGGGTGAAGGGGGAGGGTGAAAGGCAGTGCATGTTAGTTACCTGAGTGAATTCTGGCTGCCTGTCAGGCCGTGAGCCTTCATCACGGTAGCAGCGAGCAACCTGGAAGTACCTGCAAGAGTACTTACACTTAGATAACAATTAAAGGTACCTTAAATTAAATTATGGCTACAGAACTGATCATAAGACTGCTATGCTCCCTATGTAGTGCATAATCACAGTCCTGATTGCTGCCATTCCCTTAAATGCATGGAATTTTGATTGGAAGCAGCATACCAGCAGCTGTACCCATCTCCAGCCATACCCTCCCAAGGTTACCAGGTGAGCTGCACTCTGACAGATTTTCTGTCCTTCAGGCAGACTGTCTCTGCAAAGCTTATCCCTACATTTGTGCTTAAGATCAGGTTTCCATTTGAAATAGCAAAGATTTCAACCATCAAAAAGAGATAAGGTTACTCTTACTGGAAGGTATTATTGCTAATGAGACTGGCTTAGCAAAAAATGCAAGTATTCAAGGATCTCTTTGAAACAAAGCCCTTGGCAGTAAGTTCCTGGAGAAGTCTTGAACACATCACACATCAAAGCAAGCAAACCCTGGACAGTGCATGCAGACAATGACAGTCCAAGTAACACTTACCTGTCCAGGCCTCCAATCATCAGGAGCTGCTTGAACTGCTGAGGACTCTGAGGCAGAGAGTAGAACTTGCCTGCTTCCCTGGAGGGCACAAGGAATTCCTTTGCCCCCTGGCACGAGAAAGAAGTTTAGCAAGTAAGTACCTCTGCTCTCAGCTGAGACAAAGCCAACCAGAATATACCCAGCACACCAGTGGCCTTAGGCCACTTTCCTTCCCCACTTCTCTTTCCAAAAATTCAGCTTTAACATTCCAAGCAAGAAAAACTGGGAAAGGAGAAAATTGAACACGGAATGGCAAAAGCATGAAGTTTATAAAGATAACAAGACTTGAAAGAAAAGGTTATTGAACCTTTCATCTAAATACCTGACCTGAAGAGATAAGCCTTTTTCTACAATTGGTGCATCCAGCAATCAACACAAATGCTTCAATTCATGCACTCTACATCTTTCTTCCAGACTCCTTCCCTCCAGATTATTTTTTGTTTGATAGCATGAGGTCATACTGCAGCCTTTCCCCCTACTATAGGTTTACTTCACTCTAGGAACTTTATATTTTCAAAATCTTCGCCAAGTCAAAGAAGAAGAAAATTATAAAGTGGTTAAAAACTTTGGAGAAGGATAATGGAATAGTTGCCCTGTTTACATAGGCAGCCAAGCTAAGCACTGAAATTCAGAGGCTGGTGTTGTAGTTCTGGACCTCTACCTTCAAAACTGTAGATAAGTGAGCCACAAGCTTGCACCAGGATTGCTGAAATCAGCACTTATGTGGCTGTGTTTGGGTTGGTAGGGTCAGGTCTTTATTCTAGATCCTGTAAAGGAACTGCTATGTTTCTGTCATCTTGCCTACTGCTTCTGCCTAATAAATCCACCTTGTACCAAGGCTGCAGCAGAACTGAAGGAGACACGTGCAGGCTGCACAATTCCATAGGTGGCTGGAAGATGACTGTAGAAGGACCAGCAGCTGATAAGAGAAGAGATACATCAGCCTGCCACTTTAACAGACTGTAGCCTGTTCAAGTCTGCAGACTGCTCATCTACCACAATCTGGACTGACTGCTGTCTCAGCATGTCTGCAACACAAATCCCACCCAAGCATATGTGCACTATTACTACTTCACTTGCAGATGTGTGTTGAAAGTGGGGTATTCCTTCTCTGATCATCAGGGAGCTAATAAGCTCAAATACCATCTTTTTCTTGCTCCTGCCTCTGGCAGCAGAGCTAAGTGGAAGACAAGTCACTTCAGTGCTTCCTCAAGTGACCCAAACAGAGTTGTATGAGCAGCCTATAAATAGTACTTAGAAATGAGCAAGTGGAGAAACCTTTTGTAACATCTGGTAAATCTTTAATCATCTCTTGAAGGCTGGGTCCACTTCTGCTTCCCTGCCATTTGCTGCTCTCGACTGCCTCACACAAGACTTTGGGTTTTAATCTCAGTTAGGGCTGTGTTCAGAGCTAGAAATAAATGCAGCAGCAATTTGTTCAGCTCTGAGAGAAGGACATAGGCAATATAAAGCGGGGATATTCCTTCTCTCAGCATTAGGAAGCAGAGAAGTGACACAAAGACTCGGAAAGACTTGTGTCCTTGCAAAACACTTTGATTTGCCATCTTTTGCTCCAGCCATAGGGATACACCTACCACAGAGCTCTGCTCAACTACTGAATCAGATCTAGCATCAACAACTTGGACACATACAGGACTTAAGTCTGACATACACATCTAATGGAGAAACTGGGTGTACAGTATCATTATTGGTAGACCAGATTCCCTGGTGGGCAATGAAGGAGCCTCAGACAAAGCTATTTTTCAGAATTAAATCTAGAAATTCTAGCCTAGCAGCACAGCTGTGAAGTGCAAGAGGAAAGGATCTATTTTCCCTATCATAACATCCTATTTCTGATGTAACTGCTGCCTCTGTATTAAACAGTCTGTTAACTAGCTTGATCTGAGACAGCCATAAGGATTCTCCACCTCTTGCTCAGCAAGACTAATGCATATGCATATTAGACTAATGCACTCATGACAGGGATTTAAATGCAAGAATTCAATATTCCTGGCCTACAGCTTGTCTGTGATTATTTTGGAAATGAAAGGAAGGCATACAAACTCAGAAACTGAAATGCTTTTAGTAGTGCCACTGCAGTAAGCTATGGGTTAAGAGATAAATGCTAAAAAAAAAAAAAAAAAAGTCTTTCCAGGCTAGGATTTGCATTCAGTGTAATCTACAAGATAGAAGCTTTATTCTTTCATGGTAATTGAAGGTTCAAAGTCAAGACATAAAGGTGCCACTTCTACCCTTCCATTCCCTCTACTATTACAAGGATCAATACATTGTATCAGAAACTGACACACAAGCTGTTAGTGAGGGGAAGCAGTGAAGGTTGAGTGGCAAGTGACTGTAATTCAACCATCAACTGCCTATGCCACTGCAGGAGGCTAAAATGCATTACTAATGGAATACATACCCCTGGGGTTCTCTTAAAGAGCGTTGGTGTTTCTACATCCACAAACCCTGAGGAACAAACACAGAATACGCTGACAGCAGAGACAAGAACTAGTATGACACAAAGTAGGCTAGAGAAGGGTTTGTTAGTCAGCTCTGGAGGTAATGGAGCACACCATGCAGCCTCTCCAAATCTCCAGACTTTGCTGTTTCTAAGAATAACTTTTGCACTGACCGACTTAAAAGCTGAACTTCCCCAAAGCACTGCCAGAACTGCTGAAGACAGAACTCCAAACTGGCAAAGAAACTGTTAATTCTCTATCCATTTTGAACCAGGCTTTGGTTTTTTAAGAAGGGCTTCCTGATTTTAAGACAAACGTAAATCCTACAAGAAATTCATCTCTTTAATACACCTCCAGTTGGATGACCAAAAGAGAAACTATTTGCAAAATGCCTTTGATCACTTCAAATTCTGGACATAGCTCATGAGAAACAACCGCTTTGTGGCAAGCTAAGATATTTCAACATCCTTTGTTCTTTAGACCTGCCAACATCCCTCTAAGTCTGCCACTACAAGCAGTGCGCCCTTCCCAAGTGAGAACAGCCTGGAGTTGTTTAGTGCTCTCTCCTAGCAATAGGAAAGAGCAGGAAAACTCTACAATGCTGTCTGCTACACTTCAAGCACTTTGCTTACCATGGTGATTACACAGGTACTCTCGCATCCTCATCACCACCTGGGATCTCAGCCTCAGGTTGTACTGTAACTGGGAGCTGCGCAGGTCCAGGTAGCGATACTGCATGCGCAAGGCCTCTGATTTCTGGGGAGAAGAAACAAAACTCAAACTGCATGCCCAATGAAGCCACAGGACAAAAGGGGGAAAGCTGAAAAAGGATACTGCCCTGTTGCCACACATAATCCACAGCCTGCATGGAGAAAGAGCAGCCACTGAGAGGGTCTCTAATGCATGATCATTGGGTTTTTTTTGGAAGAAAAAACACAGACATCCATTCTGCACTAGGAGTTGCCTCAGCAAATCTCAATTTCAGCCCTCTTAATTCTGGCTCCACTGTGACAGACTGTAGTGATCCCCGGGGCTTTTAAGCAGATGAGCAGTATCATACATGTATCTAAAGGAACAACCAAGTGGTGATACACACTTATCACAGATAGGAAAATTAAACTACTGCAGATGGTGGGAATTGCTCAGGAGATGTAACATGGAAGGAATAGCACATAGTTCTCCCAATTCTTACACCTATGTATCAGTCACACAGTAGTCAGTGGCAGAGAAGAACTTAACAGCAATGCCTTTCATATACCACAGAAACTACAATAAGAACAACCTTTTATAAGACTATGTATTCACTGAAGAAAATCCTCTGGCCAACTAGCTACTCACCCAGATAAGACTAAGCACACTTGCCTTAAAACACAGCACTGCATTGGCAGATTCTCTTTCACACTCAAGAAAAGCTAGCACAGCCTGAATTTCTTGCACTTTTCCCTTTACCATCTGTTCTTAGTGTGGCATTTTAAAACTCTCTGCAGTGGAAACATTCAAGCCTTGTTTTCTGCGTAAGTCCAATTAGAAATGTCACCTCCCCACTAACAATACACACACCCTTCTTCTAAAGCACAGCTGGGAAGAATCAGATGAAGCTCTCACAGATGTTTTGCCATCACCCTGGACAAATTCCTGATTTACTGAAAACCCACTGCCTTGGTACAAGGGAAGAATGCAGACACCTTGATGAAATCTTTGATTTCAAAGGGCAGCTTCTTGCAAAAGTTGAGAACCTCTGCAGTCTCCACCTTGACTTCAATGTCCCCTGTTGGCATTTTCTACAGAAAAAGGCAAGAAAAAGAACAGATTCAAAACTTAGGGTGATCAGCTGGGCAAAGGTATTTCAAAGCTGATCAGTGGAAACAGACCAAGCCCAATTCATATAATTAGCCTCTCTGCCTTTTAATACAGTATAACTCAGAACTTCTCTCAAGTAGAAATCTCTCCTAGATTTTCCTCCTGCTCAGAAAAAAATACAAGCCAGCTCACTCAAAATTGTGTGTTCTCTTCTAGCAGCATATCCATCTCTACAAGAAATAACACTGCTTTTCCTTTACTTTCTGCTTCAGTGACATGCTGAGCACAGAGCAGCAGTCCAGCACGGATCCTGGTAGGACACATGACTTGGACAAAACAGTAGTTCCATTAGATTCAGTGAAATCACATAGAATGAATTTTAGAGTACGTTTGCCTTCAATAAAAGTCCAAAAAGGTGACTTGGGAGGAACTTCTCAGAATTTCCAGTTCTGAACACCAGTTCTCAGAACTAGTATTCTTTTCCTGAGGGAAAGCAGACAGCCCCCGCCACTCAGCACTGTGCCACACTGAGATTTGTTTCATCTTATGGAACTCTTTAGTTAGCAGGGGAAAGTATACACAAACTTCTTTCCAGGTCTGCCAATGATGCAGGATACTGACAATCTTGACAGGCATTTAGGGGAGCAACAAAACTGAAGTTCGCATGGATTTTGTCAGCAAAACAACAGCTGATTACAATGAGAACTGAGAAATGCACTTGTAAAAGAAAAAACAGTATTAAATCTTTGTTTCTTATATAATGAGAAACAAATCTATTGAGAGAGGAAAAGGTCATCTCTTACTGCAAAAGACAGTGACAATACTTATTTTTAGAAAAAAAAAAAAAAAAGTGATCTCAACCACAATTTGAAAGGCTGAAAAGTTAGCTTTTCCCTGGTTCTTATTATCCTTTCAAAGAGTAGAATTTAATTCTGGGTGTTTGTAATGTGCTGTGGCTTTTCTTAAGCTATTTGTCACAGCAGTTACTCCTGCCTCACAATCTCTGAGGATAGGCTGACATACAGCACAGAACAAAACTGTCTGTGGCAAAGCTGTGACACAAACAAACGACCGTAACCCCACTGCCCAGTGCTCTTCTCCCCCAGAGGAATAAAAACCTTGAGAGAACCCAGCATCCTCACCAGATTCTCCTGCCCTGGGGGCCGAGAAGACACGATGCCAGTCACTCGCACAACAGATTCCACTGGGGCATTGGACAGGAGCTTCCTCACATGAGAATGTGCCTGCAAGGAGATCCAAATGTACCTCAAAAAACTCAAAAGCACTGTGCCTCATTTCTAAATGGTCCATTTGAATCTGGGACCAGTGCAAAACCAGAGGAAACAATACTAGCAGTCCTTTTGCAGCATCACAGGGCTCTCTGGTTAAGTATCGTGCTCTGCCCTCAATTTCTGCTGCACAGAAGCTCATACTTAGGTAGCACTTACTTCATCCTGTGGAATGATGATCTGGGTGAGTCCCTGGAAATCCCTCAAAACCAGGAACAGGCCTTGTCTGATTCACAAAAAGAAAAGAACACAAAAGGGAAAAGTTCTGTCAAAATCCAGTCATCTTTTGCTTTTTAAGTCAATGCATGTGGTGACAAGTTATTGTCTGTATCTTGTTACTAATATTTTAAAACACTTCAGAAGCATATACATCTGAATATGATCTGAACAACTGGACTCAGATTTTATCCAATCACAATGTGCAAATAACCAGAAGATGCAGTATCTTAATTTGAACATGAAATCACAGAAAGCATGGCTTACAAACACAGGTAATTTCCAGAGATTTCCTGCTGAGAAACTTGATTCAGATAAACATATTTAGGTGAGCAACAAAAGGGAAGTTCACGTGGATTTTGTCAACAAAACAACAAAAAGAAAACTCACAACCATCTAACAGGCAGCAGAGTGCTACTCTCATAAGTTTGACATGAGCAACTCACGCTCCTAGACCAAGCATCACAAATATCAATCTCCTTAGCTGCAATAGTGGCAGCTGCTGTTATGCTTGAAGCTGTCCTATGAAACATACCCTGTGTTTAAAGGCAAAAGCCCAACAATCTCATTTCAATAATGACAACATCGCTCCTGGAACCCCACCCACTCAGAGATGCTCATGCTGGCCTCACACAACCAATGCCAACCATGACTGCAGAACAATACTGAATAAAAGGCAGTCCCTCTGCAGTATAAAATACAGAAGGCCATTTTTGATGGGAATTATTCTGCTCAAAACCATAGGACTTACCTCCTTTTTACTTGCACATATCCAAAAACACAACAATTAAGAGCTGCAATACAAACAAGCTTTTCAGTCTGCATTTGGCAAATGCACAGCTCCAATAGGAGAGTTTATTTAACACCACCTAAGGCAAGATGTTGGAACTGATATTTTATCCTTTGCTTACTAGCTTCTCCCAGCATATCCTTTTCAAGTAAAGCATGCATACTTTAAAGAAGCATCCTTAGATGTTACAGTAGAAAATATATTTTTTTTGTAAATTGAAAAACAACCTAAGAAATTCATAGAAAAGAAATTAAAAGCTGTCTGAACTGTTGTAAGTATGTTACTATTTAATTACTCCTACACACGAAGAAGGTAGCAATATTTAGCTGTTCACAGGGGTGCAAGGAGTATCAACTAATATTGATACCAAACTCTGGAATGTTAAATACTGCTGTGGCATGGTTTCCAACTGCTTAGTCACACATATTAGAAGGGGATAACATAAGATGTAAAAGGTAACTGAAAGCACACAGAAGTATCAGAATGCAGGCCTAGAGAGTACATTGGATCTGCCAATGAAGCAGCTCTTGTTCTCACAGTGTTTGAGTTTACCTTTGGTACTGAATCCATCCACACAAGGTGACCTCCTGTCCTATATGAGCAGCACGCAGCTCTCCACAGGTGTTGGTCCGAGCAGCAAAGCTATTGACATCTGAAATTAAAAAAAAACATAGGAACTCAGGCTGTCTGCAGGGATGGGGCAGCTCTCTGGGCAGCCTTTGTCAGTGCCTAGCAGCCCTTATTATAACTAACTTCTTCCTTATATTCAGTCCAGATCTCCCCTCTTTTAGTTTGAAGCCACTTCCCCTTGCCCCCTCTCACAGACCTTGCTGAAGAGTCTGCCCCCTTCCTTCTTACAGCCCCGCTAAAGGCTAGAACAGAAAGAGGGCTTAGGAAGCCAACGTGGAACCCCGCTGGCAGCCAGCACACAGGTGTTAATTAACCCTCTGGTGTGGAACAGCCGACGGGTGCTGCTGCTCAACCACACGCCCATAGCTAGATTCGAACTGACCCCCTCACAGCCCGCTCACCTGGAGCGCGGGGCACCCAGCCGCTGCTCAGCCGGGCCCGCTCGGTACTCAGCCGAGGTAACGCGCTACGTACCAAGCGCAGCATCCCAGCAACGGGCGCAGCTCAGCCGGCGGCTCACCCAGCCACCATAAGGCACCGCCCCCAAGATGGCGGGCGGGGCGGGGCGCGGCGGCGCGGGGGCCGACGGGACGGGCGTTCAAATGGCGGGCGGGCCGGCGGCGGGCTCCGCTATAGAGATGGAGGGCGCGATGCGGACGCTGCCCAGCAGCGGGCGGCCATCCGGCACCGGGCGGCTGTCCCGAGGTCTGCTGTTCGGGCGGAACTACGGGCTGAGCCCCGGCAGCCGCCTGCTGCCGCCGCGCTGTCAGGTAGGACCGTCCCTCGGAGGCCGCCGAGCCCCGAGGGGGAGCGATGCCATGGATGTTTGTCCTTCGTTTTTAGGAGAACGCGGATCCGCAGAAGACGGCGTTCCTCCTGCGGAAGCAGTGGACCCTGTACAGTGTCAGCCCTCTGTACAAGTTTTCCAACGCCGACTTGAAGGACTACGCCCGCATGTTGGGTGTTTTCATCGCCGCCGAGAAGCAGAAGGGGCTGGCAGTGGATGTGGACGGAGAGCTGGGGGTCAAGGTGGCCATGTCCGGTCTGCCCGAGCTGAGGGGCAGCGAGCAGGACCCCCCCGCTGTGCTGGTGCAGGTGGGGCACTGGGGTGCTATTCACAGCTCTGGGACCAGCTAAGGACAGAGCACAGGGAGTGGGGAGCAGCTGAGGGAATGGGATGGGGCGGTGTGGAGAAGGGGAGCACAGGGGAGACCTCGTGGTGAGGTGAGGGTCGTCCTCTGCTCCTGCAATAGGACAAGAGGGAATGGCCTCAGGTTGTGCCTCTGGAGGTTCTGTTTGGGTATTAGGAAAAACTACTTCTCGGGAGTGTTGAGGTGCTGGATGCCCAGGGAGTTGGGGGAGTTGCCTGTCCCTGGAAGTGTTCACCAACTGTGGGGATGTGGCCCTGAAGGATGTGGTCGTTGGGGATAGGTTGATGGTTGGACGGGATGATCATGGTGGCCTTCTTCAACTTCAGTGATTCTTTTCCCCATTCCAGCTTTCCTTGAGATCATCACTTTCCCCAAAAAACTCAGAAGAGAAGCTGATATGGTCAGGATGGTTCTGCTGTGTGGCTGGAGATGATCTTGTAGAGGATTTGCCTGAGAACTTCACTTGTTTACCTTTGTTCCTTGTTAATGGGGCAGAAAGTTACACAGCCATTGTTGGAAGTTGGTTTCAGGAGACTTTTGACTGCTGTTTCCGTCGTTTAGCCATCAGCCCTCTCAATCTCACTTGGATGGCAGCTATGTGGACTGGATGCGAAGTGGACAAAAACACAGCTGCCACGGAACTCCTTTTCTCTGTTCCTCACCTGCCTCAGCCTCTGGATATTTTATATGCCATTCACCCTGAGGATGCAAAAGCTCTGTGGGACACAGTCCAAAAAACTCCAGGAGAGATCACTCAGGAAGAGGTGGATGTCTTTATGGAATGCCTTTATTCCCACTTCCACAGACACTTTAAGATCCACTTGTCAGCTACAAAACTGGTGAAAGTTTCTACGGGAATTGCCTCAGCACACTGTGATGGGATCATAAAAGTGAGTTCAATGATAATGCAGCTTGTTATCCTAATACCAGACAAGTAGAATAGTTGTACTTTACTAGAAATGCCTTCCTTTTAGAAATGAAGGCTGCCTGTATCTTACAAATAGCTTCCTACTAGAAGTCAGAGGGCTCCAACAAGAGCAGCATGGAGGCAGGAGTGTTTCTGTTCCATATCTTGGGTCAAAATCGTTTTTAAAAAAGAATATTTTGCAGATAACTGCAAATCTGACTGCATTCATTTGTTTTAGTCATTTAAGGGTGTGCAAATGACCACTGATTTTCTTTCTTTTTTTTTTTTTTTAACAGTTTCTACAAAGCCAATACCTGATTGGAGTGCTGATGCTACTGACAGAATTAGCAATCTCTCAGATACAGTGAGACTCAACTCCGCATATCTTTGTGCATACAGAGGCTTACCAATGGAAGCTGATAAGCCTACTGAAAATTCATTCTTGCAACATTTTTTCTTCTGATCTGTAACTCCTGTGTGCAACTGCTGCATTTAAATCCATAGCCACAGTTCAGTATGCAGAAAAGGCATTTAACCCTACAGTAGCTTGTTAAGCATCTGTCTGTTATAGTCGCTCTATCCATTTGTCTGTATTTATCTGCTGGAGGCTAGGAAACAAAACTGCAAGTTCTTGGATGCGACTTACTGACAAGTTTTTCCATTATTGCTGCTGTCAGCAATTTTGGTTTTCACTTAACTGATAGCACCAGCTGTACAGTTATACTGTGGTACACTTGGGCTGCAGGCTAAATGTCAACCACTCCACTGTCAAGCATGCCTGAAAAACTGATACATGTTTTAAGCTTCTAACTTCATTGTTAGCTAATTAAGACTGGCTAGTAAGGGTCGTAAAATGTTCATCTGCTCCCTAGCTGAGCAAGGTGAAAAGCATGACAGTTCCCTTGTTTCCAGCTCTGGTCTCACAAAGTTAACGCGTGAGAAATTGAAATCAGCATGAACTAGAGATTTAATGTGCTTTGCCTGGTAGTTTATTGCCTTGGATGTAATACTGTAGGCCAGAGTTCTGAGTTGGAGTTCTTGGTGCTGGAACTTTATATTTTATCTCATTCTATACCAGGTAACAGTTCAGAGCTAGTGCACAGAGGCTGACTACAAACTATGTGAGCCAAAAGGAAGTAGAAGTGCTATGACTTGTATAACAGTACCTCATAAATATTTTTTTAGCTTTTTTCCCTAATTGACTAGAGACAAACAGCATGTCTGACTCAATGTATACTTGTATTCTATTTTAATTTTTTTTACCTGACTAAACTGTTAAGCTTTTCTGCTCACAGTATTATTGAATGTGTAAAGCATAATTTCCTGTGAAATTCACTTGTAATAACTTTAGGCTTCAAGAACTTTGTACAAGTAATCAGTTAAATATGTTGTAACCTACCTGTAAGCAGGAAGGCAAGGTGTGAGTTGACCAAACCACAAGGTTAGAACACATCAACTCCCCCTTAAAGGAGCTGGCTTGTTCCTTCTTCACCCCAGCAAGGCTGAGATGAACCAGCTGTGTACACATGAATAACATGACACCATCACATGCCTAGCTCCTTATCTCTTACTGAAACTAGCCTCCTAGTACAGTTAGAAAAAGAACCATGTACTTGCTTTCAGTTTGTATTAAGCAGAGTTAGTTTTGCCTTGTGAAGGCTGTATTTGTTGAATTGAGGATGCTTACTGAGTTAAGCACAGCCACAGGTCGTGACAGCCCGGCAACTATTAGTTCTGTTGTTTTAGTTTCCTTTCAAAGACATCAAAGTTTGCTATGTTGACTGAGAGGAATGCTTGGTAAGCAGACCTGTATTTGATTTTAAGTTAACCCATTAGTCATTTTCAAGATCTAATGTTCTGATCTGACAGTTTGCATAAGTAATTTCTAAATTCAATGTAGCCTTGAGAACCTAAAAGCATATGAACCTTGTGGGAATGCTCCAGCAGCATGCTTTGCTTTTAAGATTAGTACTTAGCTGAAGCCAGTGCTCTGCTAATCGTGCTCAGTATCTACCATAGGCTGCCTGTGGACTAGTGCTGGAATAAAGAACTACTTCCCCTACCTTATCACATGCTTATTTGTGCTACGGCTCTCAGCATCTGCAGAGAAGGCAGCAGAGGTAGATTTGACAAGATCACACAGCTACTTTCTTCCAGGAGAACAAAACTGGTTCTGAAGCACATGCTTCTAGGTAAGTGAAGGTAACACCAAATGCCTGCAGAGTTTTTAAGCCCCTTTTACTTGGACCTTTACCTGAAAAAGGTAGCATTCCTATTCACTGTATCTAAACAAACTGTACAAAAACATAATCCACTGCTTTCAACCAAAGGAACAAACAAAGAATAGCATAGAAGAAATTTATTAAGATAGCACTATTTATACAAGTTACTCATGCTAGAAAAAAGCATAAATGATAAATGTAAACATTTGTTTACAGAATACTTGTTTTCCTTGTAAAGGTGCAAATGATCTTCATATGTAAACGTAAGAATACCAACCTTTAGGGGAAAAGGAACTTTTAAAAAAACTTTTAATGACCCATTTATTACTGTAGTGTAGCTTCTACTATATTCAAGCACATTAAAATGCTGTTACATAAATCAAACGATGGAGATCAGAACTCAAGATGTCAGCACTGCCTTCATCTCAAGAATTCACAGTCCTTTTAAAATCAGATTTAATAAGGTCCAAAGTTAAATCAGGTGCAACAGGTCTTCTCAGTACAGACAGTACTTACAGTACAGACAAACGTATCAGAACCTTTGAGTCCACAGTGCCTCCTTCCTCTCTCCCTACCCTGGGTACCTCTGCACTCACCAAAACATGACAGTAATTCACAGTGCCAGCAAACAGTCCCTCCCTTCCAAACTTCCACGATTTCAGACCTTTTCCTGCTCTAGCCAAGAACAGAGAAAGTGCATTTTAAACGAATCATCGAAAGGGAGTGCACCACCTCATCGTGGTCAGTGTTTTACAACAGGAGTTCTAGAGACACAGATGAGAGGCAGGAGGGCAGCTAAGGTGATGCTGGTCTAAGCATTTCACAGCAGGAGTTGACTCGACTGCGGGTCTGCCATTCTAACAAGAACCTGAGAGGTGAGTGTTGATCTAGGCTAGCCAGAATTAACAGATGATACCTGCCTACCAGCTTCAGAGAAGAAGTGGTTGCCTGCTGAATATATGAGACTTATTTAAATAAGCAACAGCTAGTTGTTTCTAGGTTCATATACAGAGGAGGTGAGGGACAAAAGCTGAACTTTTGTACCATACACTGTACAGTAAAAAGGCATCATATGAAATCCTTTTCACTCTCACCTTCTTTTATGGCCTTTCACTGATTCAGTCGATAGATGAGAGTTCCAGTTCTACTTCTTGCCTCCAGCAAGACTGAAAAGACACTCAGGGTACCCATAGCTCTTCCATACTCTGAGACCCAACTACATACCACCAGGGTTGGAACCACAACAGCTTGCAGGACGTAGCCCTGCCCTAACCATCAACTCATTAAAACTCAAATTGCACACGCACATATACATATATATAAAATACATATATATGCACACATATATATGTATATAAAAAGCTGGAATCAGCGCTGTGAGCAATGCAAAGAAAAGACGTAATACAAATTAAATGAAAAAATAAATATACTCTGTGCACAGGAAAGCTTCTGTGCAAAGGTGGCACCTTGCAGGTCAAGTACTTTTATCTTTTTTGAAGCTCTCTGTAAATAAGGCAAAAGCAATGTTTTTCTATCACCTTCCTCTTTCACCCACCAACACAGCTGCCACATCCAATGCTCACAGCAGGAGGGAAAGGCAGGAAACTCTCCTTGCCAGACTCCCATTGTAGCTTGTAGTCTGTGCATTGGCATTGTTTATGCTATGGTGAATTGTACAGTTTGGTTTATTCAAAATTGTAGACTAGTTAGAAAAAAAATATGGACATAAGCAACACTTCTACTTTTGTCCAGTGATTCCCTGGAGTCTGGCAATGTGGTCTCCCATTGGGCACACTCTCACAGAAGTCATAATTCCATAGAAAGAACCAACGGCAAAGAGTTACATCAGGTCTAGACCGTCCATACGAGAGCCGCAAAGAGTCCAGTGTCAACAAGTCTCTTCAGTTGATCTAGGAATGGGAACCAGGGGGTCTCCCTCTCTCTTGGTGCTTACCATATATGGGATTCACAGTGTGTCATTTTGATAACACCCACTCCTCCTCCCAGCCGCCGGTAGTTCATCCCTCCGTACAACCTGCAAAGAGAAGGCTTCAGTAGGCACACTGCTCCAGCTCTCTCATTAAACCACCATGGGAATGATCAAATCAGCCTTTGTAAGCATGGATACGCCACTGTTAACACCTGCTTAAAGTGGGCTGTGACAAGTTAGAGGCAGAGCAGCTGCCTTTTTACAGACTTCCAAGGTAAACACTTGTATTTGCTCATGCCTTTCTCCCTCTAAACAGAAACTGCTTGTTTGGCCACGATGGTTTCCTGTTATTTCAGTAATCACTTGCTTTCTCCCTGCCTGGCTGTGGGAAAGATAAAAAAAAAAAAAAAAAAAAAAAAATTTCACAGGCTGTAGCTGACCTTGGGCTACATTTTGGATAGCACTGGATCAAGGACAGATTTGCTGTTTGCAAACCAACTAATTTTTATTTTATTTTATTTTTTTTACATTTCTAATACCCTATACATTCAGCTGATCCAACCAAGATGTAACACATCCCAAGCACCATCTGCTTCTCTAAGATATGTTACTGAAATGGTGCCTGCGTTTCATATGGAAATCTGATCCCTACAGACTCCAGGATCCTACTCACTTCAGCTGCATAATTCTCTGTGCTGCTGAAGTCTGCTGGCAGAAACAGGAGAAGCAAGTTCTTCAAACAACTCTTACCAATGCAATCTGGGATTAAGTGATATCAGAAGAATTTCTTAGTCGAGCTACACAAAAAAAGCCCTTCATAGAACAAAAAGTTCAACAAAGAAAAGGAAGACCAGATGATGATCAGCTGTTCTGAATTAAGTGGGGGGGCCTCTCAGCTTATACCTTGAACAACCTCCAAAAGTCCTGCAAATGCTGGCCTAGACAGTAACTCCTAGCTCAAAATATCTTGTTATCGTTACAGCCATTGAAAGTACCCGAAAACCATTCAGCTAAGAGAAAGTACATATTCCTCTCTGCTCAGGTGGGTTTTCTCAGCAGTTCTACAAGCACTGACCATGGCTCAGCAGACAAGAGGAAGATCCCCCATTGCTCCTTATGACAGCTCGTCTCAGCAGAAAGGGATTAATCTACTAGTATTACTAAGCCAAAAGGAATAAGGACATTAATTGCTTTCTATTCCCCTCTACTCCCTCCAGATTACTAAAGCAGCAAGACCGAAACTTTAATTAGATTTGGGAATAAATATAATTGCTTTTAAGTGTATTTAAGACTAGAAAAGAAGTAAGAAATACAACTCCTCAGTATACATTTTCAATCAATTTTGTGTTTTGTCTTGTGAATCAGATGAAAATCTTCTAATTGCTGTCTTACAGACTTAAAGGGAGAAGAACATCACATGCTCAAAGTGTTCTGCCTCAAATCCTCCAGAAAAATGTGGAGCTCAGAACCTCAGCTTGAAAGCCAAAAATAAGTAGGCTGGTTTCTACACCATGACTAAGGGTTTCTATACCTTCTAAGGGTCAGCTCGTTTTTACCAAGAAGCAGAGCAGACTCAGCCCAAAATAAACACAAGAGGCAGATGTCTTTCAGCGTGGCTCACACTTTCAAGTTCAGAAGTGGCACTTAAAACAAGTTATGTTTTGGAATAACATTGTCCTTGCTACCTGGCATGCTTGCTACGTTGCCTATTTTCTTTTGATCTCGAAAACCTACCTAGACTTGGTTTTCCAAGCACAAACTTGCAAGAAAGTGTTTCTTAACTAGTTGTGGGTATGGGAGTGCAGTAGGTAAATAACACTGGCGTATTACCAGCTTCAACTTCCATTCATATTTAAACAGAGAAGTCATTTTGTCATGGAAGCTTTTGCAGTCAGGCAGCAGCGCTGTAGCAATACAAGCCCACCACAAAGGTTAGTGAGCACCTTTTTGTATAACTACTGCTCAGTACTGGACCATGTTTCAAGCATAACAGGGAAGGCAGCCACACAAAGTTCCTGTGCCTTCCCAATTTTTCAAAATATGATCCTCACACAGCTTCATGCTAACCAGGAATTTACAGCATGAAATTTATGCTGGCTGCTGCACCAAGCTGTATGTCACGGTTCTAATTTGCTGGGACAGCTCCAGCTGGGTGACAGCAGCTACATCTGGAGATTGCTGTTTGACTGTTTCACAAACTTATCAGTTACCTCCATGTGTTAGCATCTGGATCAAACACCTCAATGGTCTTCAAGTACGTTGTGCCATCAAACCCTCCCACGGCCATTAGCTGTCCATTCACCACTGCAAGGCCAACCTGTAAAACAACCATCACAGCAGCTGCTTAGCTACTTGCTGAAAAGGCATGTCCTGAAAGCATACCCCGAAAATAACGATTGAAATAAATATTAATAAAAGGTTTAGCAGCTGTGTTTGGAGAAAGGCAAGCAGCAATGGAATTTTCTAGGGGGAAAAAAAGTACAAAACAGCCTAAAATGCATTTAACTAGGGCAGACTGGTATAAGATGCCACACAATCCAAGTGCTGGGTTTCAAATAACACGACATGAAAAGCTGAATATGTATCCCAAAGCAGAGATATCACAGTAAAAGCACAAAGTTCCCAAGGTGACAATAAGAGCTAGAACTGCTTCAATGTTTGTAGATATATCAGAGCATAAGTCTTTATCAGCCAATGCATATCACGTCCTAGATGAGACTCCCTGACAAATTACAACATGTACTCCAGAACATCTAGCAACCTATAGCCTGCAATGACAGCTTAAACTGGAGAACCATATGTAAGCCTACACAGCCTGCTCCTCCCAGGCTGTGGCTTGGAACATCTGTAAACAGCTTGGCCTCCAGCCTTTCTACTTTATCCTTCTGCAGAAGCACAAGAATTACAAAAACCTCAAACAGTTCTGTGGTTTAAGCAGATCACTTCCAGTGAAAACAAAGCAGTATAGCAGCAAAGATAAGAACACAATGTAATACAGTCCTCATTTTGGTTTTGAAGTACTTAGCACAACTTAGGAGGGCTGCACATGCAGCTGCATCTGTTGAGGAACTTCTAAATAGTGCAAACAAAGAATTCATGAAGAGTCAATGCTTAATTGGTAGCTGGAAAGGACAGTGTTGAACAGTGTACTAAATGTTTTGAGGAAGGAAATACATATTTTCTGCTCCCCAAACCAGTACTTACTCAAGTCATGATTCACACTTGCCTCAGCACACACTGAAATACTAACATGCAGACAGAATGAATCCACGCTTTGCTTTACTATGTAATTCAGCATCCAATGATAAATATTCATAACATTTGCATCTGCCTAAACATGATGACTACTTAAAACGCCACGTTAATCTTTTGTTCGCATGCCTACAGAAAGCAGGAAGATTAGAAGTTGATGAAAACATGCTGTCATTCTCCATACCCACAGGATTTGTGGAAGAGAGGCAACATCTGAAAGCCCCAAAACCCCATTCCCACACACATCTAGGCAGCGAAAGCGCTTAGCTCTAAGTTAGTATCTACATACAATTGCTCAGTTTTCCAGCTCTTTTTTCTGTGCAGGTAGGATTGTTCACCTCCTAACTCACCCAAAGTGCAAGATGAGACCCAGGTGCTGATTTTAATACTGTTCTCTAATCCTGTCACACACCAAATAATACATGTTCAGAAGAAGCTGAAGACCTCCTCAGTTTATCTCCTCAGTGTAAAGGACCGAAACTATTTTAAAAAGACCTTCAAACAACTGGATGCCCTGCCACGACACAACTACCACTTCATTCTTGAGTCTTACTAAAGAGCATAACCCCTGGGCAAACATTTACCTCTCTGTTTCTATTCTAAAAGATACAGATGAGGCAAGAGGGAAATCTCACTCGATAGTGCTCTATCCCCTACTCTCACCATGTGATGACAGATAGCACAAGCAAGCAAACCAAGCCAAACTCACTCCGCTACGTCTGGATGTCATGGCCACGACAGGAGACCACTGGTTGGTTCGAGGGTTGTATCTCTCAGCACTACTAAGCTCCGTCGTATCATCTCTGCCTCCCACAGCATATATCATGTCTTGGTACACTGCACAGCCCAGGTGCTTCCTCCTCGTCCCCATGGGTGCAATCGTATGCCAGCGGTTCTCCTGAGGATTGTATCGTTCCACTGCAGAAGAAATGATATATTGTTGGCAACAGGGTTGGCAAGCAGTGGAGATCAGCACTTTTATATCAGCACCCAAAGCGTTGCTCAATCTGTAAAGATAGTGCAGTGTCCACACAAGAAAAACAGGATGTACTGGTTTGTTCTGTCACTCTCATGCTTTCCTTCCATAGAGAGCTTGCTTTTCTCTCCCATCTCCAATCCTATGCAGTCAATCAATCAGATAAAGCACCTTCACTCAAGAATGAGTTGGCTACAAAATTATCACCGTTACCATGCCAAATGCAGCATCTAATGGGAAAAACTATATGTGCACACACACACAGAGGTAACGGTGGTTCACAGGCTCATATATTTACCATATGTGAATTACCATATAGCAAAATCCCATCTGAAGGAGAAAACATGCAGCTAACCGGTCACCAAGATACTCAGCTGCCACCTGGAGACCTTAAAGACAACAAACAGGATCATGACAAATGCTGACAGCAATGAGGGACAACAAAAGGCATACCTGTATTGAGAGGAGAAGTTCCATCAGAGCCTCCCACTGCATAGAGAAAGCCCCCTAAAACAGCCACTGCAACTCCCAGGCGCCTGGTGCTCATGGAAGCCACTCGAGTCCATTTGTTTTCTTTGGGATCATACCTGGCAGAAGAATAAACATCAAAGCTCACAAAAATGTCAACATTCTCACAAAGGGGGGTAAGAAAGGCTGATCTTATTCTCCCCAAAGAAAAATCCCCATGGGATTTGTTTGTTTACCTCCTCCCACGCTCCCTTTTCTTTTTCCTTTTAATTTTGTTTTTAAAAACTTAGGTACCTTTCCACAATGTTGAGGCAAGAGACACCATCCTGGCCACCCACTGCATAAAGGTAGCCCCCAAGAACTGCTACTCCAACACTGGTCCTGCAGGTGCTGGTGGGGGCCACATCACTGCTCCATTGATTGGTCTTTGGATCGTACCTAGAAAAACAGTGCAAGTTGCTTATCTATGCTTCAGACTTTCCCAAGTTTGGAAACTTCTGAAGCAGTAAAATTCACCCATCTTGAGTCTGAACTGCAACACAGCTATTTATAAGTAGAATAAATAATTCCAAAATTATGCAATGCACACAGCACATGTAATTGCAGGGATGTTCAAACTGCAGTGCAGATGATTCAAACTGAAGATCAAAGGTTGAGGTCTGTAAGAAAGCACATTACCAGGGACTGGCTGACATGTGCTAACTTGCATCTGTGCAAAGAGCAGCAGTCAGTTACTCTGCTGGATATACTCTGCAGTTCATACAAGCCAGCACTGGACCTGCTCTTACTGATAAAGACAAAGGAACCAGACTAACTTGGAAACCCAGCGGTGATGAACAACGGTGTGTAGCAGAAAAGTGCAAGATGTGGGAGACATAAGACCACAATGTGAGAAGCTGGCAGTATGCAAAGAGACAGCGAAAAGAAGGGGAGGAATATTTGTATAGCTCGTTGGATTTGGTAAAGGGAAGAGATTTGGAGTGCATGAGTCATGTGGCTTGGAGGCAGGCAGATTGCAATATACTGCTCCCAGAAACATGAAGCTTGACACAGCTTGTTCGACTTGTGTCTTTCACAGGCCTAAAAGTGACCTATTTTCCTTCTTCTATGTGTTTGTAAGGTTCCTTAATTCTGTAGTTACCACTCTGCATGAAATTCCAGGATGCTTTCCCTCACTATTGAAGTAATGCATACTGCAACCTCAACCTTCCTTAACAACACTAGAAACAAACCAGCAACTGCAAAGCTAACCAGGATCACACTCCTCCCACCAATTACAACCAGACCCACCTCTTCATGATTCTTCCTTTTACCAAAGGCTATGTCTTGTTCCATTAAACCAAGAGTAAATACACAAGCTGGATGTGTGAAGACCTAGTTTAGCAGTAAACCAGTACATATTGAAGTAGATAGCAAGTAATAAAAATTTCAGTTTTCCAGCAGGAAAGCAAACAAACAAAAAATAGCTGGCAAGATGAAGCTAGCACCCAAGTTTAAGAACTCAGAGTTAGTATTCAGCATGTTGGCCTTACGGACACCTACCTTTCTACACTGTTCAGGTAAGAGGAACCATCGTGGCCTCCCACTGCATACAGAAGGTCATCCAGAACACTGACACCAACGCCACAGCGCCTTTTGCTCATGGAAGCCACCATCCTCCACTCATTGGTTTGAGGGTCATACCGTTCCACGCTGGAGATCGCATCCCCGCTACACCAGCCCCCCACTGTTGGGACCAAAGGCAAGAAATAGTGTCACAGTAACACACCAAGCACACATAGTGCACACGTGCCTGCTACAAATAACCCCTCTGCACTTCAGCAGCCTTAACCCACTAGCTTCATCTCTCAGAGTTCATCGTTCTGAGGATTACAATAGAAGGCAGAATTTGATTTTCAAGAGGATTAACCTACACTTGGAAGTAACGTCACCACCAAAGAGATGACACAAGCGAGGAAGTGCAAGCTGACTCAAATCTCCAAGTATTAACACACAGGTCATTCGGAAAGATGGTGACAAGATTCTGTTTAAAAGAAAACTATCACCAGCAAAACGGATTTGAATCTCCTGAGTTGAGCCAGCAGGAGCTGTACACACCTGCAAAGAGCACCTCTCCACAACGGATGGGTTTGCGTGGTCTAGTCCTCGGTCCTTGCATCAGCGGTCGCTCTTGGGGTAGCAGGAGATAGTTTTTGGCTTCATCCACTAAATCCCTGCACAAGACGGGAAAATATTAATTCCCAAAGTTCACTTGAAACTGGCCAAAGGAAAAAGCATGAATCAAAACTGGTGGGAAGAGCAGTCAGCAAGCGTTGGGCACTTCAGTTATTTGCAAACCACAGAAGTGCATGAATAGATGCAGTTAAAACATGCACTGTCACCAAAATCCTCATCAGTTTTTTTACAAGTCACTTAGACAGTGACAGCAATAGCCCTGCATCAATTTTTGACTGGTGGTAGTATCAGATACTACTAGCTGCAATGACTAATTAAAAAATGGTGATGAGATTTCTTGGGCTAATTGTATTAAAAAAACAAAACAAAACAAAACCAGTTTGCTTCAAGTTAAAACTTAAGCATCAATGGTTTTACCTTGGAACAAAACAGGAATTGAAAAGCACATAAATACATAATACCTGCATGACCAATAGATGGAGATAGTATCTTTCTGATGAATATTTTCTCCTTGAGCTCTGGCCAGCTCACACTGTCCATCCATTAATGACTTATCATCTGGTCTAATCCTAACATACCAAGCCCTTGAATAAAATAAAACACAAAAAAAAATCCTCCTCTCCTCTACGAGTGTGGAATTCGGTGTACGAGTGCTTACTCAGGAGAAAAACAGTTTAGCCTAACCCCTGAACTTTTCCACATTAGGCACAACAAGGAAAAACAGATAATGCACAACTCCACAAGAATTAGAAAGGTGTGACTTATGTCACAAGAGAAGGAAGTGGCAGCTTCCTTCCAGTAGCAATGCAGGAAAGAGACTACATCTGGAATCTGTTCAGCTATCATGTTTTGCATACAGCAAATACTTCAAGTCATATTGAGATTCACAGAAAAAAAACCTTTAAAAGAATGTGATTCCTCTCGGGCATGCTACCAATATTATGCAAAGAAACAACATGTCGTCTTGCATTTCTTCTCCTTGTTGCAAAAGAACAAGTTGGGAGAGATATTGCCTGTTCACTACTAACAAACAAGCAGTTTCAGAGAATAGATGTCAGTAAGGCTCCCTAATAGAATGAAATCCCATTCTGTAGTTGAGCAAGGAGATTTACCGGCATTCCTCATCGCTCTTAATAAGAGGATCAGAGCCCACTGTGCCCACAAGAAACTTGGGACTCAGCAGTGGCAGGCGAACGTGCTGGAGGACCTGCAACAGAGAACAGAACAGCACTGTGGATAAGCTGTAAATCCCCAAACAAAGAAATTGTGGAAAAAAAAAAATACTGGCTAATAATGATAACAAGCACAAGCAGGTACAGACAGAGGGACCTGAAAAGATGTACAGTTTTAATGCCATTAATAAGAGCTAACTTGAGCATAGCAGCATTTCTTTCTTTGCTTTTAAACAATTTTCAGAAGCTTTCCTAAGTATAGTTGCATTAAATATCTGTATTTCCAAAGAAACACCAGGGTAGGCACTCACTTCTTTTGATCAAAAAGCCTGAGACTTCAGAGGCTTTCCAGCTGACAGCTTTGTCAGAATGGGTGCTTCTCTGTGAAATGGCTTGGCTCAGATGAAACACTGCATTTCAACAAAACTATTCTGACAAGCTCCAGTATAAGATCCTGATGGCTGAGGCATAAATCAAACAGCAGAGCTTAAAGATGCACCTCAAATGAAGACGACCTTTTCCTTACCCACTGTTTTTTGCACAACACTCAAAGCAATCCAGGCCACCGTGCCTGGATAGACCACTGAAACAATCTAGTTTGGCAAGCCCTACCTGGAAACAAATCAATAAAGCCCCTATTAGAAGGTCTGGTGGCTGCATCTTTCAGCCTAGATGAAAGGAAAATGCCAACCTTCTAACACAGGAGGAAGACAAAACTATTGCGGAGCTGCATGCACTCAGAACCGACACACTGCTGTTGCATTGCCCTATTTAGTCCTCATTGCTCTTCTCTTGGATAAAAGGAGCCTTGAATGTCACTGTGCTCATTATTACCTGTGGCAGCTGGGGTCTTCTTTCCTGAATGCTGTATTTCACCCAGGCCATCACTGCGTTGAACACCTGCTCTTCACTGCGAACATTTAACTCGTCGCTGGATATGATGTCTATGAGCTGATTGGCAGGAAGCAGCATGAACTCCTCGCTCTCCATTACCTGGTTAAATAGAAAACACAAATGAGGATAGTGGCCAAAGCACCAGAACCATTCCCACTTCTGTTTCTCGGTGCAACTCTAAAGGACAGGTGGCCCACTTGAAGTAGAGCCCAATGGACTGATCCAGCAAAGGCTCAGCTACCCATCACTATCTTGCCATCAACACATGACAGGCTGGCTGCAAAATGCAGAACCAAAAACACACCAAAGATACATAAAAGAGTTTCCATAAGATAGTTTTAAAGGATTAAGTCACAGAACACATTAGTCAGGTTTCAGAACTCAGAAAGAATAAGACATGCCTTTACAATCAGCCTTCCTGCTTGCCCTGTGTAACTTATAAAGCAACACCAGAATAGAGAGGATCTATCCTCAAGCAATCCAAAGCAGAAAACAAATAAGAAGTCTCAGAGACAAGCTACCAAGAGCTGAATGCCTGTTTGTGGCAGAACAGAAAATATTTCTGGACAAAGAGATTTGATCGTCTCTCACTTGTTTTCAATATCTGCAAAGAGCACGTGCAGGTCCAAAGGCTCTTAAGAGGGAATCAGAGCTTCTGAAGACCCTAAAGACTCATCCCTTGTGAAACTCAAGCTGCTGACAGTCTGCCAGCACGTGAATTCCTTCAGCACCCAAGATAGTGACCAGCTCCTCAGGAGGCCTCAGCTGCTCCCAGCACACAGCCCTGAACACAGCGCTGCTGCAGGCTGCTAGCAAAGAGTTTTCCTTGACACCCAACAGTTCAGCTTCCCCACAAGCACTCCCAGCCCACAGCCAGTCATCTGAGCGGTTCACTGACATAAAACAACTGAATATCAGCTTGTCCATGTAATTTACAACCATGTTAGAACTACTTGACTTATGCGATGGTCTGCAGCATTAATGAAACAAGATCCTGTGCTCATAATAACTCTCTTATGTTAACAACAATTACACCTGCAGATAGAGTAAGCACCTGAGTCTATTGCTATGAAGTACAGCTTGTTCATCCCTACGTGGATTTTTTCCCCTTCACAAAAGGTGTGAAAGAGCAAACAAAAATACAAAGGCTGCTCTTGTAGAGTCATTTCACATCTCACACACAAGATTCACTGGGGGTTCGAGGCAAGAAATTGAATTAAGGGGAATAAAAAACTTGGGAAAACATTCTACTAAGAAGCTGACGATGTAATGCAGCAATATATACATATAACAATTAGTAGAAGTAGAGGTTAGCACAGCAGAGGACACGAAACAATTCACTCTGCATTTGAAGTAACTGCATGGGCTGGCTTGATGCCTAGTGCTTAATATTTGACACTGCCATTCAGGAAATTCCCATCTCATGTTTCTCCTTGTCAGTTCGGAGGAACAGTGACCGTATATAGGAGTACAAGTTTTCTACCAGTTACCTCCCTCCCTTTGGTAAGGGATCAACACTCTCTGGATGGAAAGTAATGGCAGTGCAGAACACGGGCCCAGCAAGGAGCACCATTAATGCTGGCTGCAGAGAAAGAGCAGAAAGAAAATGGGAGATCATTAGGGATGAAGAGCAGCTGAACTCTTGGATACTGAATGGGACATCAAAAACTGTCCAGGCCAAACAAACAGCGAGCTAATCTATGTGGTTTAGTTAACTCAATTATAATTTGCATCATCTTTAAAGAACAGAGTGTTTTCTAGAGACCAAAACTCCTGCCTGTGTGTGCTTTCACAGGGAAAACTAACACAGAAAGCCATCTCTGAGGGACTGTGAAAGAAAAGAACCCCACGGCAGGCGGCTCTCGACAGCCAGCTGCAAGCATTAACACCAAAACATTCAGATACAAAAGCCTTATGCTGTCAAGAAGTTATTTAGAGGCTTGTAAGCATGCCCTACTTGTGTAATAAGAAGAAGAACGCAGCTCTAACCATTAAAACCACCAAGTACTGAAAATAAACAACCATCTGGTTACCATCCTGCTCGCAAGGAAAAACTGCAGAGGAATAGAAATGTAGAGCAAGCACACAGCACATGACACAGCTAAATGTAGGGCTTTGAATGCAGAGCTTTTGGGAAATCACCGAGTTCTAGAAAATAACAAGCTCTTAAGTAGCAAATTCTGTCTTCATGGCTAGGGAAGTCATATTTAATTGCAACTTTTGGAATAAGCTGATATAATGTGTCTACAGTCAGATATCAAGTATTGTCTTCAAGGTGTCCAACAGTCAAGTTCAACCATGTTTGCTCCTCCTCATAATTTTCTTAAGTACTACCTGACTGAAATTAATACAGTTCCAATCTGCTTCCTGCAGGGAAAACAAGAGTGTGCAGGCTGCAATCAATCACACACTGCCACTTTTCTGGGGAACCTGAATTAGCAACACTACTCCATCGTGGAGTTACCACTGCCTTTGGAAAGGATCCACCTATGGAGCAGGTGGAAAAAAGAAGTCTCTCTGCAGCAGGCTACCTGTCCCAGTGGATAGAAGAGCAGTTTCTAGAAATGGCAAGAGAAATCCCCCTGCCAGGGGAACACATCTTCATGCTGAGAGCACCCCTAGAAAGCAGCTGCTTCCAACACACTTAAATTCTTACCCTTCCAACAAGGGCTCAGGAAAGATACCACTTAAAAATGTTGGGCTCTCTTCAGCATCCAAGTGTAAGAATGAAGTAAAGACCCACTCTTCTCTGGGTATTGCTTGGGGAATCCTTTATTATGCTGATCCTTCCCTGAGCTGGCAGCTGGAACCCCAAAAAAAATTTCTATGGAGAATTTGAAATGCAAGAAGAGACTTGAGTGTATGAAGGTCAGACACAAAATACCACATGTGAATTCCATTCCACATCTAGCTATCCAGCTTCTGCTGAATAATAAATGCAAAACCCTGGTTCTGCTATAGCAAGGGATTTGAAGACTTCACTTGACACAGCCATATGCTCACCCAGCTCCCTCATACTCCCAAGCCCTACACTCAGCAGATTTCTATTTCTCATATATTATCCTCACGTTAAGACTCTTCTCCCCTCCAATCATATATCTTGCAGCACACCCTAGTGCAGCTACATCAGCAGCAACATCAAACACCACCTATGTATGTGGCCCTGCCTTCCATGCAGCATTCAACACAGAACTCCAAGAGAGGAAATGCCACAGATCATACTTATGATGTACAGAACAACGGTGAAACACTGCCCCGCAGGTGCTCTCTTCCCCCTGCTGAGGCCAGTATCCACTTCTATCAGCAGAACTGAGGGCAGGGTTTGAGAAGAAGCACAAAGAAAGAGTAAATCACAGCTCTCTAAAACCACAGTTCCAGCAGAGGGGCTTCTTACCTCCTGGAAATTATGCTGGGTGAACTTGTCAGCAATCCTCAGCAGTTCACGGCACGAGTGAGTGTCAGCAAAAGCTCGGATGCCCAGGCAATTGGAAGGGTCCAACTGTCTCTTAAGGAACTCGCAGCAGGCCTCCTGGATCTCAGCCAGCTGGAGAAGGCAAGCAGCTGGCAACAAGGTCTGGACATTTCCCTCTTCCACAGTAATCTGAGAGGTGTAGGCAAAGTCAATGAGCAGTTCCATGGCCCTTTCGTCGATGTCTCTGATCACCACTTCTGTCTGCCGACTCTCTGCCAGCTCCCCAGTGAACATGGCTCGGAAGTACGGGCTGCAGGCGGACAGGATCACCCTGTGAGCATAGATCTTCTTGGCACCTACCACCAACACCACATCACACAACTCCCGGTGCTTCCGGAGAAGATTGATGACTTCCAGAGTCTGTCGAGGGTGCTTGTCGGAGATGTAAGGCATACGAGCAGGCTGCGGCACCCCTTCTGGCAGCTTGTTAGGATCTCCCAGTGTGCATCGGCTGGTCACATCCATTCCGGTCTCCCCTGGTCGAGTACTGGTACACCTGCAGCAGGGGAAGCCAAAAAGACGATGGTCAACAACTCATCCATCACCAGCTGTCAGCCAAAGCTCGACGCTTCACACCAATCACACAGGCAAAAGCTGCCCAGAGCTCCACGTGAGAATGTGAATATAACATGATCACGTGCAAAAAGAACCAGTCTCAAACCGAAGTCTACTTAGAAATAAACAAATGCCAGCTTGCAACAGGCTTATATCTGTTTTTATATGCTTTTTATGACACGCCAGTGACGTCCAACCACATGAACACATTTATTAACTGAACCTAATGACTGCCTCACATGGTAGAGAAATATTATCACCATTTCACGGACTCAAAGCAAAGAAGGTTATCCAATTTGTCCACTGTCACTTGAGTTTTGTCAGTGCTGGAGACTGATTTCTGCTGCAAATAATTGCACTCACACAATTTAACCAAACTTCTCTATTCTTCTGCCTCCATATTCAATAGGGGTGTCCATTACTGATACCGGAACACACCCAGCTGTCCTGAGGATTTCAGTAGCTTCAGATGGCCTGCAAGATACCATGCAAGCAGGATTAAGAGACCAATCAATATTGGAAGTACCAGAAGTATTCACAACCACCATCCTACCAAAACAGGAAGAAAATAGTGCTCTGAACACACAAAATGACATCTCAGTTATCTGAATCTTTGCCTCATGCCATGTTTGCAATTACTGAAAAGGATGCAACAGCACCACTGACCTATCTGAAATTCAGACCTATCTGCTCTGAAAATAAAGCAAACAAAGGAAACTATTGCCTCTTCCACTTAGAAGAAAAGAAAAACACTTCACTGGGAGCAAATGAAACACACTGTGTGCAGAATCAGACTGCTGACAGCTATGAATAATCAGTGAGTATGCTGGCTGTCAGAGATAGATTGAGAGAGCCAATACATCCATTCCTAGCTCCTCTGGTACATTGGCATTTGGGAGTTATCACTACCTCACTCTGCTCATATTAAGAGCAAAAGAAGAGACAGCTTTGCCATTGCTCAGTGCCTTTTGCAGCATGCTTGGAGGAATTAAAAAAATAACTCACATCCACTGCTCTCATTATTATGTCAAGTGCATTTTCTAACCACAAGCAAACCAGCCTCTTTGCAGCAGTTCCAATTACTTGCATCCCAGACTGTTTTCCCATTCCCCCCACACTCTCTCCTTGATCATGGCATTCAGCTGCTTCAGACCATTACCTCTCCCTCCTATCTCTGTTACACAGATTCAGCTGGGTCTCCCTCTGCACTTTGCTCCTGTTCAGCCTCTGCACTTGAAATGCCTTGCTTGTTTGCTTTTTAAATATATATTTTTAATATATCCATTGCTGTTCTCCTTTCCTGACACCTCTGACAAATCCTTCTGCTGTTACACTGCCTCCCTCTCCCCTCCACCCACTCATGTCCCTCACAACCCAAATTCACTTTGCGGTGTTCCAAAGCTCTGCAAAGTTCCTTCCAAACAATGCAGGTAAACACTCCTCACAGCATCAAAAGTGAACTAAGTTCAATGGTACCCTCACAGAAATCTCAAGAAACCTTAGCTAGAGATGAATTTACCAAATTGGCTTTCTCTGATAGTCCCAAGCAGCTAATATCAGACAGTAAGTAATTTAATCCCTCTACCAAGGGATGGAGGAAGGCAGTGACAAAGCCCCTCAGTATAGAGGCCAGCTCGCACTAAGCATGCCGCATGGATTTCATTGTGCTAAGGCCCGATTTGGGCAGCAGTTCCCCATTCCTTGCCAGGCTAGAATAGGCTTTTCTCCCCAAATCTGACTGCTGAGATCTTTAATTGAAAAGGAAGCTGGTTATTAAGAACCTCAGGCATTCCTGCACTGTTCTCATCCTCATTTATCTGAGCGTGCCTATTGTATCCAGCCTCCCTTCTTCAAGAAAAAAAAAAAGGGGGGGCTGGTTAATGATTAAAGAGAACTGAATGGCTGGAAGAAAAAAAAAAATAAAAGAATAATAAGCAAATTAGCATTCCTGATTCATCCATAACTTACCTCTAGGTAATGCAGAAGCAAGTGATCAATGGGCTTGGGAATTTCCATACTGGATCAAGACAGGTGCTTGACGTTAAGCACCGTGGGCTGCTGCTGTGCACAGGCATGGAATTAAAAGGACACCGACAGCCTGTGTCTCCACAAGGATAATAATTTCACTGCATTATGCATATATATGCATAGAGAATGAAACGGTGACTCAGTAGCTTAGAGGTGCGAAAGACAGAAAGCAGCATTTGATTCTCACATGCTAGGCTAGCTGCCACCCCCCCAGCGCATTCACAGCTAAGAGCTGCTCCCAAATACACGGGGCGATTAAAAAGAGCTGAGGATTGAGGAGGAAATGTGTGCGTGAGGATAAAAAATTGGTGCTCAGCTACGCAGATATGCTGGGATTAGCCTCCATCAAAATGCAGGGCTGAGGAAACCAGCAAACACAATGCGATTAAGAAAGGGCTGACAAAGGATGGGTTTCCGTAGCACACTGCTGAGAAGTACAAATGGAAACACAGGCAGTCTGCCACACTAAGTCAGCAAGATATACAGGCAGTGCTACCTCCATTTTATTCATCTACGCCACTTCCCAAAACTTCCGCTGTTAACACGGGCACCCGTGAGACTTTCACCCTTACAGCAACACAGCCACAGTGAAAAAGTTCAAAATATACCCAAGAATAATATCTAACAAAAACACTTCCAGAAAACATCACTGAGCTCCTTAACTTTAAGGTCAGGGTGGCCTGTGTTTTTTTTGGTGTCACATTATGTATGTTTGAGGATGAGATCACAAGAAAGCTTTAATATAATGCAGAAGAAAATAACTGATGGGACCTATGGCCCACAGAACAGAACATGAAACAGGCTGAAAGCATCAGCTGAAATCACTCATTGCTCTAATGGATTTCAGGAGCAAAGGATTTTAGTAGCAAATGGAGATGATAAATCAAACCAGTAGCGATTTCTGTCAATGCCTAGCTTGCAATTCTATGCATAAAGTCATACAGAATTACTAGGACAAAGCCCTTTGATTTAGTTGGTGATGTTGCGTTAGACCAAGTAGATGGAAATGCTTTATTGCAGCAACTAAAACTCTGTGAATTAAAGATTTAATAATTACTAAAAAAACACCACTGACTCCTTTTCTTACAGAGACAGCAAGGCTTAGGAAAACACTCTCACAGAGGTAGTGTTAAGCAAACAAGCACATAAACCTGACTGCGTTATTATTTTATATTGCTTAAAGTGAGAGCAGCAGTGATCTGGTACACAAGTCCCTATTTACACCTAGTTACACTTTCACTCACCAAACTCAGAGAACTCTCGGTTTCACCAGGAATGAGGATGCCAAAGCACAGGAAGCTCATTGCTGGAGTCTTCCTCCCAACCTTTTTGTAGCTTGTCTTGGGCAACAGCCGTGCCCACGCTTGAGAGCTGCTCCAGTCCTCATGCACTGCTTGAGCTATGTACAAGCACATCACTGCCTGACCACCAACTTGCTGTGTTGGCTTCCTGGCTTAACTCCAGCCCTTCTGCATAGCTACAGACTTGCCTGATGATGACAGGACTCCTGGCTGACCCCCAGCCACCATATCTGCTCTGCCCTCCTTACTTTGGTGCTGTAGAAATACACCCTTCATCAGTAAGGACTCCTCTGCCTCGCTGATGCCTTCAGCAGAAGTTTTCTCTTGCTGCTCTCCGACAGGGAGAACAGCCTGACCCAACTATCACTTCATTACTAATGCAAAACAAATCCTGCTTGTGACGGAGAGAATGCTCTGATGTTCAATCTTGACAAGAATAGCTGCAGTTTTTTTTCCCCATTCAAATCACCCTCCCCATCCTCTGAACGCTGTACAAATTTTGTACCAACTCACCATGTCAACTAATGCATCTGGGCAGTAGGGTTAGCTCAGAAGTAATGACCACGTTAGCACGTCAAACAAGCCAACCACCTCTGCACTGGCTTGCCATAGAGGGAAGGAAAATAAAAGGTACTGGAAGGTCTGGTCTCTATGAGTTGTTGAAGAAGCCTGAAGCTCCAGGGTCATCACCACAACAGAAAACCTCTGCTGCTTCAGCCTGGTGCTGCTGCTCACTCTTAGGTCTAGCCCAGCCTGAGTGGCAGACAGAACTCCTGCCATGGCAAACTGAAGACACAAACCCACTGAACACCTAACAATCCCTGCATTGCCATTCTCTGCCTTGGAGATGGAAGAGAGCTGTCTACTCCTTCACATGTCACTCAGAAAAAAGGAGTAAGAGCTGTAAGAGCCACAGGTTAACTCATTTCTGCCCCAAAACCACACTGCTCACCTTGGCAAAACAAACAAACAAAAAAACCTGATTAACATAACATGGCCCCAGAGATGCCCATATCATGGACCAAGGTTTACTCGTTAGCTTAATTGAAGCATCGTGCTGATGCTTACAGAATTACCCCTAGCAAAGTTTCCCAACTTTTAACACCTTGGAGTACAGACAGACTAGGCTGTTTGCATGAGTTCTCTCTACTTCCTTTGGAAAAAAAAAAATAATCAGGCATCTCTGCTTCCACACAGCTTGCATGCAGAAATACAGCTGCTGTTAAGGTTTGCCTTGGCACATTTAACAGTGAACAGCAACCAGAGCAATCCTGTTTGCCTACATGTCATCATGCTGATTTACTGGGACAATTCTTTTCCTGTCTATAACAGAACATTTCTGATATAGCCACAGCAAGCACTCCCCTGAATTAAACTTCAGCTGCATCTTCAGCTCATTAGAACTGAGGCAGCTGGCATCCATAATTAGAAGAGGAAATCTCCTTTTCATCTAAGGCCTTACCCCATCAGAGGAGCTAAACTCCTTTAGTCAAGAGAAAAGTAATGCCTCTCAGAAATCAATTTTATTCCCAGACTGTTTATTTCACATTATCAGAACAAAAAAGTAATTAAATACTGGATTTTAAGATATAGTAAAAGTGAGGAGGGGCAGAAGAGAACGTAAAATTACAATAAATTGTCTTCCAAACTCTTCTCCTAACAGCACATCCACTTCCAGACATCTGGTCATGTAAATACTGAGAACTAAACACACAGAAGCAAGGACTAAAGATAAACGCTTACACTCTAACTCTCCTATCCAGATCTTTTTTTAAAAGCAGAAGAGGTTTCATGGTCTAAGAACTTTTGAAACCAACTCACCACAGGATTTATTTACAGGAGGTTAAAAGGAGACAAGTGGTTTTCATCTTACCTGCGCATTGGCTTTCCGTCCATGCACCACGAAGAGAAACCTTCACCCTACACTTCAGAACCCGATCCGAAGGAAGAAAAAGAAGAAAAACAGTGATGCTGTGAAACAAGAGCCTTCCTTCCTCTCTTCAGTCTGACTCTGCAACAGCGGAGCTGACCAAATCCACATCCTAATATGCCTTCAAGCTCTAATCCAGCTATAAAATTTGCAGCCTGGATTAACGATGTCTCAACTGCAGAGGCTAAAGCAGACGGAAATATAAACATCATTAAAAGTCATTTCACCACAGCTGCATAACAATTTGTTAGGCAAATGGAAGACATGGATCAAAGGATGCTGTCTGTCTGCTTGCCTGCCTATCGGAACCCTTAGGATTGTTCGACCAAAGGAACAAAATGCCTTGAGTGATAGGAGTGGGGCTCTGCCTTGCTGTGCAGCAGGGACTGAAGGCAGGCTGGCAAGTAAGGCACAGCACAGCGCTGACTTCAAGTTTAAAGAGGGTAGATTTAGGTTGGATATAAGGAAAAAGTCTTTTACAGGGAGGGCGGTGAGGCACTGGCACAGGTTGCCTAGTGGTGTGGTTGGTGCTCCGTCCATGGAGACTGTCAAGGTGAGGCTGGATCAGGCCCTGGGCAGCCCGATGGAGCTGTGGTGTCCCTGTTCGCTGCAGAGGAGTTGGACTAATGGCCTTTAAGGGTCCCTTCCGACCCTAAGGATTCTGTGACTTCTTGTCACAGGAGAGCATCCTGCATTCAAACTGACGTCCCCAGGCTTCCTGCATTCAGACACCCGGTGGGGAGCGGTGAAAGTATAGGAAAGGCGACGATGGGAGTGAGACCGAATAACTCTTAAAGAAAATAAAACAAAACGAAACAAAAGCCTTTCTCACACGATCGAAACACTCAGCTGGAGCCCCGCATCCCAAACCTATAGGGCAGAACTTTGGGCTGAAGTTGCAAAATGGCTCCAGCTGCTCCTGCCTACGTGATCCTGCCCCCTCCCCGCCGAGCCGAGCCCCGGGCACGCCGCGCTCCGACCCGCCGCCTCTCCCCGCTGCCTCCTCCTCCTCCTGGCAGCGGGGCACGGCCCACCGCGGCCGAGCCATTCTCAGGCCTACGCATTTCAGTAAGGATCAAAGGAGGGCTCAGGCCGAGCTGCGCGGGACTCACCGCACGGCCGGCACCCGCACCGCGCTCGCTCTCTCACTGCCGCGGGACGCACCTTCGCTCCGAGCCCGGCCCGCCACCGGCCCTCCTCCGCGGCAGGAAGCGGACGGCCCCGCGAACCGCCGACAGCCCCTTCCGGCCCGGCCCACGACCGCCCCGCGCCGTGCCGCGGCTCCGCCCCGCCGTGCCGGCCCCCTCGGGCCTGGGGCTGGCTGTGTAATAGAGGTGCTGAGGCGTACGGCGAGCCCCGAAGTGATGACGTGGGGAATTTTTCAGTAAATCACATCATGCGAGTCCAAGCACTGCCTTGTTCTCACCCTACATCAAATCCCCTCGAGGCACCGTTGTCTCGTTCCGTTTTCCCAGCAGCCCGCTCAATGCCACGCTCTTTGGCACGGCTGTCTATGAGGTTGTTTTGGAAACGAGTCCCGTTGTCTGGCTCGGTTCTTTCAGGGGTGCCGTGTCAGCACAAGACTCGCTTTTCAAGGCCGTTCCTGGCGGTGGCACGAGGCTCAGGACGTGTTTCCATCCGTCCCGTGGTTGCTTCCACCATTTTAAGCACGTGGACCTTGCCGTGGTGTGATTTAATCCACCAGGCCTCTCTGTATTTACATTTCAGCCATCGTCCTTCATACCTAAGAGGCTTTAATCACTTGTCTTGCCTGAAGGCAGCGCACTTCACATGCGTGGAAAACCTGTGCGATAGCATCCATGGTCAAGTCCACCCCTCTATCCCAAGTCCATCAATATGTTGTATCTCATCCTTGAAGGTATGAGGTGTTACATGCCCTCCAAGGTATAGATAATTCACCCTTATGTTGCCAGTGCAGATAAACCCAAGCCACTTCAATCCTGGCTGCCTGATCCACCTGCTGGTTGTTTTTGATGTCCTTCAGTGGTATGACTTGTGGTTATGTGGACATTTACGTGACATGCTTTTACAACCCAGGCAGCAATATCTTTCCACAGTGCTGCAGCCCGGATGGGTTTGCCTCTACACTGCCAGCTGTTGATGTGGAGTCCTCAGTACAGGAGAGATGTGGACCTATTGGAGTGCATCCAAAGGAGAGCCACAAAAATGACCCAAGAAGTAGAACACCTCTCCTATGAGGACAGGCTGAGAGCTGGGGCTGTTCAGCATGGAGAGGATAAGGCTCCAGGGAGACCTGAGAGCAGCCTGTCAGTATCTATAGGGGCCGTAAGAAAGATGGGACGGACTCTTTAGCAGGGTCTGCTGTGATGGGAGAAGGGGAAATGCTTTCAAAGTAAAAGAGGGGAGGTTTTGATTGGATATAAGAGGAAGATTTTCTAATAGGGGTGGTGAGGCACTGGTACAGGTTGCCTAGAGAAGTGGTGGATGCCCCATCTCTGGAGACACCCAAGGTCAGACTGGACAGGGCTCTGAGCACCTGATGGAGATGCAGGTGCAGCTCACCTCTAGCACAGCTAATGCCCTCAAGTACTGGATACCTCCCTCCATGGTAGCACACTTGACTAGGTGACATACAATATCTTTCTTGAAGGGATGCCTTTCCTTCATGTCTGACAAGAGTTGCCCCCATAGAGCGAAGGCTTGTGTCCATTTTCCAATCACTTTGTCAGTGCCCCCTTCCCTAGTAAGGGACTTGACTGCCCTCTAATTCCAGACTGCCGGTCCCATTTTCACAGCATCGGAGCAGGCAGGTGACTTGGAGAAAGAAATCTCTCCTGTGGGAGATGGGACAAGCAACTTAGGAAGAGTACAAAGATGTTGCTAAGATATGCAGAAAGGAAATTAGAACCACAAAAGCCCAGCTAGAACTTAATCTGGCAGCTGTTGTAAGAGATAAAAAAAAATATGTTTTTGTGAATACATTAACTATAAAAGGAGAGCCAAAGTGAGTCTCCATCCTTTATTAGATGTGGTGGGGATCATTACCACCAAGGATGAGGAAAAGGCTGAGGTACTCAATGCCTTTTTTGCTTCTGTCTCTAATAGTCAGGCCAGTTATTGTCAGCATACTCTACTTCCTAACCTAGAAGTCTGGGATGGGAAGAATAAATGCTCCATAATTCAGTAGGAAACAGCTGGAAACCTACTACTCAATCTGGACTATCACAGGCCCTTGATGCAGATGGCATCCACCTGAGAGCACTGAGGGAGCTGGCGGAGGTGATTGCCAATATGCTTTCCATCATTTATCGGTAGTACTGGTCAAATGAGGAGGTCCCAGACAACTGGAGACTTGTCAGTACGATGCCCATCTACAAAAGGATTCAAAGAAGGATCTGGGGAACTACAAGTCTGTCAGCCTGACCTTGGTGTTGAGGAAGGTTAAGGAGCAGGTCATCTTGAGTGATCACACAGCATGTGTGAGACAACCAGATCAGGCTCAGCGAGCACAGGTTCATGAAAAGTAGGTTCCTTGACCAACCTCATCTCCTTCTATGACCAGGTGACCAGCCTGATGGATGAGGGAAAGGCTACTGATGCAGTCTACGTGGACTTTAGCAAAGCCTTTGACACTGTTTCCCACAGCATTCTCCTAGAGAAGCTGGCAGCCCATGGCTTGGATGGGTACACTCTTTGCTGGGTAAAGAACTGCCTAGATGTTGGGACCCAGAGAGCAGCAGTGAATGGAGTTAAATCCAGCTGGCAACTGGTCAAAAGTGGTGGGGAACAGCCAAAGGAACAGGAATGTGTCAATCTGGAGAAGAGGAACTTCAGGGAGACCTTGTTGCTCTCTCCAGCTGCCCGGGGAGGTGGTGGAGTCACCACCCCCGGAGGCACTCAAGAACCGTGGAGATGTGATACTGAGGGATGTGTTTAGTGTTGGGAATGGGTTGGGGTTGGCCCTGATGACCCGAGATGTCTTTTCCAACCTTACTGACTCTGTGATTCTCTAAAAGGTCACAGGCTAGAGCAATTTCTTGTTGAAGCATTCTGAAGCGCTGTGGTGCATAATGCTGAAGAGTCCCCAGATACAGGACCTGCAGGATGTCCACTGAGCATCAGTATCGCACATAGGCACCTGCCACAGAAGACCAATACGCTCCCATAGAGAAGTGGCAGCTGCTCAAGGGAACCACAGACTCTCCACAGCACCAGGCAGTCCATCAGCATCAGATCCAGCCCCCAGTAAACATAGATCTGTGTACGTACCATTTCCCATCCGCAGGCCCTTTGCTGGACTCTCACCAGTAGCTCTATGTCTCTCTTGTACTGGTGAACCCCCAAGTGGACACAGCACTCCAGGTGTGGTTTCACCAGTTCTGGGAAGGATCGCCTCCCTTGAGCTGTTGTCAATATGTGCCTAAAGCAGCCCAGGTAACCAACAGTCTTCTTTGGGGCAAGAGTTCATTGCTGACTCATGGCCAACTTAGGGTCCACCAAAGCCCCAAAGAAATTTTTTGCCAGGCTGGGTGACCCCTGGGTTGTTCCTGCCACGTTCAGGACTTTGCAGTTTTCCTTGCTGAACTTTACGAGGTTCCTGTCAGCTCCCTTCTCCAGTCTATCAAGGCTCCTCTGGATGGCAGCACAATCCTCTCATATACCAGCCACTCCTCCCAGTTTTCTGTTATCCACTGACTTGCTGAGGATATACTCTGCCCCATCATCCAGTGTGTAATGAAGATGTTGAACAGGACTGGAACCAGTTTGACTCCCTGGGGTATACTGCTAGTTACTGACATTCAAACAGATTTTATACCACTGATCACCACCCTGGCCTTTCAGAAAGTTTTCACTCCACTTCCCTGCTCATCGAGCCCCTACCAAAGCAGTCTGTGGATCAGTAGTGCTCTTTCACATCTGGCTT